CCGTGGTGGTGATGGGGCAGATGTGGGCAGGGATGCTCCCACTGAGAACCCGCATTAGGGGAGAGCTGGGGTGCAGGGAACTCTGTGGAGACGTTGGCCACGTCGCTGTGTGTGCAGCTCCCAGGGATGCTCCCGGCTGCGCTCTCGGTGCTGATGTGAGGATGCAGTTTGTTGAGTTGTTTCCACGCTTGTTATTTCACTGATTGAATCAGTGGAGCTGTTACCCTGGTAGGGTTTCGAGCTGCTGTAAATGAGCTGTCCTGTGCCAAGGCATCTGTCCGTATCCCTGACAGCGAGCGCTCAGTGTGATGAGGGTTGCTTCTCTTTACGTGCCTCTGGATCTGAAATGACACTTACTGCTTTTATTGGGCGAGGAGGCTGTCTCCATCCCCTTCCCCTGTTGCTATATCCAGAAAACGGGAATGTGTTATATGTTATTTTGCCATCTTCAACCTGATCTGCAGAGAAGTTCCCTCGCAGCCACCTTGTTTAATGCTTTACATGAGGGGTTGGTGTTTGAGAAAGCCCCAATGGGACATCTTGAATTTCCCAGTGGAGTCAGTGTGGGTGAGTTTTATCTTAAAAGGCTCCTTCTGTGGCTCGGACGTGCAGCCATCCCCCTGATTGCAGTCACTCTGTGGGGGTCCCTTGTCCTTTTTGGTGTTACAGCACCATCCATCACACACTCGCTGTGCCAACACCGTGGTCCCATCCTGTCACAGCTTCCAGCCTGCAGGACGCGAATGCACTGCAGCAGAGGATGCTCTGCTAAACCACCACGGAGCACACCGGGAAAGGTTCAGAACATCACCACTGGACTGCTTTGGGGCTTTGGCCAAAAAGCGACAATAAGAACTGCCGTCTTTGTGTGGATGCTGCCATCAATTCCCAAGAGAGGCTGCGGGGAGGGGAAAATTCCCTTAAAATAACCAGGGATGCACAGAAAAGGACCTCGTCGCTGTGCAGAAGCCTTGGAGCAGCTCCCGAATAGCAGATGGCAGCAGAAAGCCTGGCAGACAGCGCAGCCCCGCGCTGCTCCGGTGGGGATTGGCACCTTCCAGCAAGTTGAGGAAACTTCTCTTATTCCCGGTAACCCAATCACCGCTCCCGTTTTGAGTGGGTGGAAATGAAAGCTGCGCTGCTCTTGTAGCACAGAGGCCCTCCACAGTCTATTTTGAGTTCACTGATGATATTTTCCTCAAGATCTGGTACCCAAACCTTGGCTATTTTTCATTTTTGCTAAGATCCCTGCTTCGCCGCCGCCGGTCAGCCGCACGCTGGCAGTGACAGCCGCTCCATCAGAGCACGCTGAAGAACACAATACAGTAAAAACCCTTCTCCCTGTTAATATTTGCTCTGGACTCCTTCTCCTCTCCTCCCACTTGCCCCGTTGGTGCCTCGGGGTTTTAAGAAGGAAAAGGCGTTGCGATGCAGATGTGTTTATTGAAACAGCAGATACAGAAAGAGGAAAACAGAAGATGTGAAGCGCTTTGCTGCACAGCTTGAGCAGTGCCCTGAGCTTGCGGCACCGTTAGCTATTTGGGACGTGTGCTTCCCCGAGTGAGGCATGCCGGTTATTAACCACACTCCTGCTGGGCTCCTGTTTTTCCAGTCCATCAGCAAGCTGTGCCTGCAGGAGGGATCTTCTTGAAAAGAAAAAGTAAGGCAGAAAATCCGTTACCGTCTCCAAGCTCTCTCCCAGGCAAGCAGAGGCTGTGGGAATGATACCTAAAAGCTGAGAGCCAAGGCAGGATTATTTTTTGTTGTTTCCATGGAGACTGAAGTGATTACAGCGATGCCCTGCGTGGTTTGCAGCCCCTGAACCCGGTGCCTTTCCCGTTCCCGTGTGTTGCAGGTGCCCTGTCCCCGGATCAGCCCTGGCTTTGCATGCGGGATGAGCAGAGATGGAGCATCCAGGCCAGCAGGCATTGCCTTGCAGGAGCAGCCAGGTCTGCTGGGATGCAGGCTCCTTCGAAGGCAGAAAAGAGAAGCAAATTGTGCTCACGCTGAGCAGACAAACACAGAAATTGCTCCTGGCTGGATGCACAGAAACGAACGGCTGCGCCGGGATCAACCTTCAGGTGCCTCCGTGTCCGTGAGCATCGCACCAAGGGACTGCAGGGGCAGTGCCCTCGTGCTGCAGCCTTTGTGTCCCATTCGACTTGCTGGGACAAGCAGCAATGAGCTGTTTGTTCGCTGTTTTACTGCTCTAAATGAATGTGAAATGGTGATAATGTTTGTGATGACTGGAATAAATGTCTTGTACTCACGACATGGGTCTCACTGGCTTCGTTAGATGCTGTGTTTCCACTGACCTTTGCTGTGATTTATTCTGCTGGATTTAATAAAGGGATTTTTCTTACTGCTTTTGCAGTACTTGATCGGTGATAACAACTATTGACAAAGGTCGGCATAGGATTATAAATTTTAACCTATGCTCTGCGCGTAAAGAAATGTCCTCTCATAACATTTGAGGAAACACTTAGGAAGTATTAATTTCACTCTCTCAGCTTGAGGCCTCAGAGTCACAGGTGATGCAGATGGACGGGCTGCAGGCAGCGGAGCTGGTGTCTGTCCGTCTGTCTGCTCACTCCTCGGGGATGCTTTGTCCTCCACCTTCTTTGGGCACCATCATCTTAGATCTGATAGCACGTTTCACTGTGATGTTGTCAAACAGCTCCTGCTTCCATCTGAGGTCCAGTAAAGGCTTTGGAAGGAGCAGGGAGACTGCGTGGATCCCAGTGCCAGCTCTGCCCAGTGCATCCCCAGCCCAAAACCCCCTTTGACGCAGAATAAAACCTCTCCTGCTTGTAGAGATGAAGAAAATCTTCATATCACAGACACAGGATCCTGTTAATAGACCGTCTGGATCAGTCGTTGCTCCCTGGGTGGGATGTGCCCCTCCAGGCCCCCCTGCACAAAGAAGACCCCAGACCCCACCACGGGCTTGGCCATGGACTCATGGGACAGTGGCTTTGTGGCTCGGCTTCCTCCATGGAAAACCAGAACTGTCAATTTACTTCCCTGCAGCGGGGACTTTGGGGCTTTTTTTGTCTGTAACTTTTTAATCTGCCGTTTTGTTTTCTCCCACAAAGGTTAATTTTAAATCCTTCCCTCGCTCTGCTTTGCCCTCTTTTGTCAGCAAGTTCTGTGCTGTTGTTATTTCCCGAAGCGAGCCACCAGTGCCGTGCCGTAATAACCGCGCTAGCGATGCGCCTCTGCCGCTGCCTGCGCGGTGCTGTGGGTCCTGTGTGAGTGCTAATTTACCACTTCTGGTTTAAAAATTTATAGGAGATGCCTTAGCTGCCGTGAGAGGTTTCTGCTGCCAAGATGTTCCTCTGTGTGTGAACGCGTTTCTTTTCAGTTACTGTTCCTAGGCAGGTGATACCGAGCTTATGCTGACAGAATTATTTGACAGCATCCCTTGATATTTCAGCATCTTGTAAAGAGCCCAAATCCTGAGGATATTTTGCAGTTTGTTTTCTCCTTAATCTGCTCTCTTTGTTGCTGAGAGCAGGAAATAGATTGTGGAGCTCATAGCCTTGATAATGTCACGGTAACGTCCGTCTTATTTGATCTGAAACCATTAAGAATGGAGGGAAGACAGAGGGAAAATAACAGTTGAGGGTGAGCGCTGGACCAAATAATTCTATAAATGCCAATCTAAAGCCAGCCTCATCCTCTGATGTCCTTTTGCCAGGCGGTAGTGAGATGTATGTTCCAAGTAAATGGGTTTTACCAGGGGTGATGGTGGGGAAAAAGATGAGTAAAGGATCCATACACAAAATATCAAAACCACTGGGTAGGTACCACTGAGAAGACAGCCTTGCTTTTTCAAATTGATGGACCTTGTCAGCTGAAATACAGTATATATCGAAAACCCTGGGGAGCTGAAGACGGTTTTCAGACGTGTTTTTCCCCCCAACTTCATTTTAAGATTAGTTTTAATTATTTTCCTGGGAATGGCAGTTCAGTTGGATGCCTCTTTGGTGCCGTGCCAGCCCAGCAGCAGTCAGTGATTTATTTGTGATGGGAAAGGGGCTCTTCCTGAGTCATCCCCAGCCCCTGGTGCTTGGGGGAATTTGGGAAGGTTTTTGGGCTGTTCCTCGCCCAAAACCAAGCATCAGTCTCCATTTTTTGGTGTATTTGGCATAGACATAAACGGCTGCCCAAGGAGATGGACGAAGGCAAATTGACTCGGCTCCTCCTCAGAGGAGTTGACAATTTATTGCTTTACCATATAAATATTTCCTACAGGATGGAGTTGGTCTGAATGCGAGGAGTTTGTCTAAACACAGTGTTTACATCTGTTGAGGAGCATGGGTGCAAATTGCATTTATCAACCAGAAAGGGAAACTGAAAATGCAGATTTTTTAAGCAAGTCCTGAAGAGTCTGTGCTGCTCTGCAGCTCACCCAGTACTTCAGACTGAAAACCTTGGGTCAGGGTAGCAGCAGAGGAGCCCAGGGGTCTGCAACAGCCGAGTTGATTCATCCCTCGGGGTTTGCTGCTTGTGCCGAGTTGTGGCCGCAGTGGAAGACATCACTGCTGTTAAGGTTGACTTGTTTAGTGCTGACTTCATTTTGCACTGGTTGCGGTCACACGTTCGATTCTGGTGTAGGCTTCCTCTCGGGGCCGCGCAGGAGAATTCACCTGCAAAATACCCAGTCCCCTGCTCTCCGTGTGACGTTTTCCTCATGCAGTAAAAGAAGCCCCAGGGCACAAATACTTAAAAAACAAAAAAGAAGGCAGTGCAGGAAAATCACAAATCAACCCCAGCCAGAGCTGGAGACTGCTTTGAAGTCGCTTCTTCCCCATGCAAATAAATCACTGACGTGTGGCAGTGAATGGAGCACTGAGCCCTTCCTTGTGTAATCGTCTGAGCAGCGAAGCAGTTGGGGATTTGCAGGGATCCCCCAGCTCAGGGGATGGGGGGACGCGCGGCGGAGCAGCGTTGTAGGAGCTCTGTGCTCCCCGATTGACGCTGATTTCTTATTGCAGTTTCCTGCTTTTTCAACTTCACCACCCCGTCTGGGATCGTGCTGTCGCCAAATTACCCTGAGGAATACGGGAGCAGCTTGCACTGCGTTTGGTTGATCATAGCGAAGCCCGAGAGCCGGATTCACTTGGCTTTCAATGATTTCGACGTGGAGCCCCAGTTTGATTTCCTGGCCGTGAAGGATGGGGGCACTGCCGAGTCCCCGGTGCTGGGGACCTTCTCAGGAAACCAGATCCCCTCCTCGCTGACCAGCAGCGGCCACGTAGCCAGGCTGGAGTTCCAGACCGACCACTCCATGGAGAAGAGAGGCTTCAACATCACCTTCACCAGTAAGTGCCCTTGCTCCCCGTCTTCTCTCAAGCAGTAAATTCACGTTAGGGACCAACAGGCAAGAGGTTTAATCTCACTAAAACCCATTGCAAATCCCAAGTCTGAAATTTGGGGATTACTTTTGCAGTTGGGTAGTTGAGGATTGGTATTGCTGATGGCGCAGGTTTTGGCAGTGAAGTTTAAGCGTTGCCCAGTGGTTTATCTGGATTATCTGTGCAGGGTTTCTGCTGTCCCATTCTGCTGCGTTAGCTGGGCCTTCTGCTCTCCCTCTGTGCCTCCACTCTGCTCACTGAGCTGAGATGATGCTTTGTGGACAGCTTGGTGCAGATCAAGAAGAGCCAGTAGATGTCGATGGTTGTGTTCATCAGTCAGTGCTATCATCGCTTGCTGACACCTGAAAGCATGTAAGGCTTTGCAGATAAAGGCTAACATGTGGCAGTGTCTTATAATAGAAAGCATTGAAAATTCCACAGATACGTTTCACCTAAGTCCAGTCTTCAAATCTCCGATGAATGCTACGGTAATTTTATCCTCGTATTGTCCTATAATTTTCTAAAGAGCATTATGAAACCTATTCAGCAGAACTGATAAATGACTTTGTTATAATAGCCTTTAGTGGCACAGCTAAATTAATAGCCTTTCCAGCTATGATTGCAAATCCTCTGTTTCAAAAAATCAGAGGTCTTAAGAAATCATTTGCCACACTACAGCAGATTGAAGGCTCATCAGATGGAGCAGTTTGTGTGTGGTAGTGTCACATACACGGGGTTGAGTCCTAGATCCCGCTCCAGAAACGCTGGCGGTGCCCTCAGTGTGTGTCTCCGACACGTTCCCTACCCGTGCTGGGAGTTGTGACTCTCTCCTGCACGAAGACATTTTTAAAGCAGATTTTTTTATTGTTGTAAATGTGTGAGTTAATCTGTTCTGACTGCTCCAGCTACCGAAAGGGAGCTCCTGAGTCTCTCAGACACCTTCCCATCAGCTTGGGTAGGGAAGAGGAGACTACAGATTGCTGCAAGGGACGGGTACCGGAGCACGAGGAGCAGCTCAGCCGCTGTTTTCCCCTTTAGCAGTGTGTGTGTAACGCTCTCAGGGTAACCATACTTTGTAGGAAATCCAGAGCTCCTCTGAATCTGGTCAAGTGTATTAACGATACTAAAAGCATGTGTGTGTAATTAACGTGCAGGCTTTAATCTGTCATATGCTGCTCATCTCTGAAGACCACCTCCCAGCATATGAAGATATAGTACATAATTATGCACTTAATGGGGAATTAAGGCTGTAGACTTACGGCTTGATTGGTTTCCTGGCCTGGTTTGTAGCTGCTGGAAAAGGGCAGAGCTGTGTCTGTGTAATTCCGTGTGTAACTTTACAACACCTAGGAAGGTAATTGCTGTGTGTCCTTTGTTTTCTGCCGGTAATGGTGACAAGCAAGGTCAGGGACCGTGTGGCAGTCACTCACGCTGCATGCTGAGAGGACCCTTACTTTTAACCACAGGGCCTTAAATCCTCCAGTTTTTCTCATTAACGGTTCATTTATGGCCCCTCTATGCAGATGGGCGCACTGCGGTGTTTTTAGAGTTTTATATTTTGAGAATTTTAAATTGGGCAGAGGAGAAGAAAACCAGGCCCTCATTATTCTGTCCCCCATCCCCGCCAGCGTTCAGGCACAACGAATGCCCCGACCCTGGCGTGCCCGTCAACGGGAAGCGATTCGGTGACAGCCTCCAGCTCGGCAGCTCCGTGTCCTTCCTCTGCGACGAGGGCTTCATTAGGACCCACGGCTCGGAAACCATCACCTGCATCTTGAAGGAGGGAAACGTGGTCTGGAACAACGCTGTGCTCAGATGTGAAGGTAAATTTTGCCATTTTTCCTACGGTTTTGTGTGTGCACTCTCTGATACTTGCGGCTTTTTGGGGAAAAATTGTGATGGTTCTGTCTTTCCCAGTCCCACTCAGATAAGCCATAGTAAAGGTACATGGTGCTGTCCTTTGGCCATGGTATAGGCAGAGACATCTGGTTTTGAGAGCTGAAGGACTATTGGACTTTATCTTAACCCCCAGGTTCTCATTTATGGCCAGGATTTTGTGTAGCTCTGGCAGAAGAGTTTGCTCAGGAGCAAATGCCAGTCCAGTAATTGCTGAGCACTGAACTGGGATCGCTTTCCTGTTTCTGTGACGTGGGCGATGGGGATTATTTTTCCTAGCTCAGTTCTTGTTACAGGACGTGTTTATCTAATAACAATAATAAAAGGCTTTAATTTACTGGTGACTAAATCCTCCCTGCTACTCTTCTCAAGAAGGGAATTAAAGAACGGAGAACGGAAGATACGTGGTGGTGGTTTTTCTGTCCTGATTTTTGGCACGTGTAAAACGTATCGTATTTCTACAGTGAAAGAGGCAAAAGGTACAGATCTTTACTGTGGAAAGTGAACCCATTGCTGCAAACATTGGTATGCACACAAATACCTTCAGTGTGCTGGTGTCGCTGGGGTGCATCACTCCCATCCCGTGGACTCTGGCAGTTGAGAGCCAGAAGCGTTGTATGTACATCTCCTTGGCACAGCAGCTATGAGAGCCAACCCAGAAGTGTGGGAGGTTGAATTCAAGGCTGAAATACAGATTTCAAAGCTTTATTTCTAGTCCTTGAGAGCTTCTCCTATGGAAAAGCGAAGTGAAGAAGGAGCTCATTAGAAGTGAAAAGTGATGCTCTGCACTGGTATTTACACAATTTGAGTAACAAGGGCTGTGCTGGTGAGAAGTAGTACTGTGATACTGAGAAACCAGTTCAGTGATTGGTCAGGCACTGTTCGAGCAGCAGAAATGGCCCAATTCAGTCCATTGTCTCTCAGATTGAAGCAGGTATCAGTTGTTCAGTAACTTGTATGCAATAAGAAGAACTTTTTCATATTCTTGTATAATATTTCTTTTGCAAGCAGCTGACAATAAAACCTCTGTAGGTTTGAGTCACGGTTTCCATTGCTTTCACAAGCACGAGCCTTTCAGTTTATGCATCTGTAAGTGTGGAAGGGAAACAAACATTAAATAATCCTCTTTTAATCAACTTTTCTCTTTGGAGGCTTTGATAACCTTATGCCATTAACTTGTGCTTTTTTTTTTTCCAGTGATCACAGTGGTGATTTCTTTGACTCACCCTTCAGTATGCACTCGGTTAAGTGTACATTTTAATTAGCCTATTTAAACGAGGAAGAAGTACATAGATCTGAAGTGCTGTTTGGTGCTTGAAAAAATTAATGGGAAAGAAAAGAGACTTGAAAAAAAAAAAAGAGTTGAAAGACGGGTGGAAGTCCTGGCAGGAAATGATGGAGCTCTGGGACAGAAAGGAGCCTTGTGTTCAAAATTAATTGGTTAGGATCCAGTTGAGATCAGTTGACTTTCATCTGGCTTCCTTCAGCTCAGCAGTGGAGGTTTTTGGGTTTTTTGGGGTGTTTTGGGGGTGATGGGCATGATCTGCCCCATGGGTGCTCCTGAAGGTGACACTGATGTCACCCTGGGGTGCAGATGTGCGCACCCAGCACCGGTGAAGAAACCCCTGGGTGATGAATCCTGCGAGGTGCTGAGCAGGGGGGCACAAATTCACAGGAACAGACACTTTTCCATCCCCTTGGATGATTTTAGAGGACAAAACATTGCAGTTATTTAGGGCTATAGGATTTTGTGCTTCTGGTCCGTCAGATCCAGTGTCCTTTTTCCAGCAAAGATAATAAGACGCCTTCAGCTGCTGCTGATGGCACAGGGGACCACGGTGCGGAATAAATGCCATAGTCTTGTGATGTCCCTTGCGGTAGGAAAGACATGACTCAATTACCACAGATATGAAAGATTTTCTGGCACCTGCAGCTACTGAAATGCAAACTGACCTTGCGGTTTTCTCTGCTCTTATATCGAATAATTATTATTATTATACCCTGTCCCCTTAGAGCCGCTGCACAAGGTCAGGCTCTTGACTCCCACGGATGCAGTAGCGGGCTGCTGCACCTTCAGTTTGAGCCAAAAAGGCAGTTTCTCATTGAGTGCTGTTATTTCATTTAGTTCTGATTATTTTTAACACACGATAAATCTTAATGCATGAAAGCTACGGGATGGTACTGCCGGTTGCGCTGTGGTTTCCGTGATGCTCCTCACCTGAATCGTGTCCCTCTCCTTGTCCCCAGCGCCCTGCGGGGGCCACCTGACGTCTCCCAGCGGAACCATCCTGTCCCCGGGCTGGCCCGGCTTCTACAAGGACTCACTGAGCTGCGCCTGGGTGATCGAGGCCCAGCCCGGGTACCCCATCAAGATCACCTTCGACAGGTACTCACTCCCCTAAACTGCCCTGTCTGCATTGCTCTCAAACTGCCCTATTTGCCTATTTTTGGGTGCTTCCAGCAGTGCTGAGCTGGAGCCACTCTTGTTGGATAAGGGAACAAAATGCTCGGTGCTGTGTTTGGCACTGGGGGTCTCTTTCTCTCCATTTTTTTCCATACTAACTCCTGCCAAGACATTAAAACTCACCTAACGTTCAACAAGAAGAAGAGGTGGGAGATGGTGATTTTTTTTCCCTTCATATTTTGACTGACTCCTGCTAATTTGCAGTGCTATTTTAGACGTGTGTAGGACGTGTTTTCGGAGGCTGAGCTCCCACGAGCTCGTGCTGCCGGGCAGGAGCAGCAGTGAGGATGCTGCCCTGACTCAGGTGTGCCGAGTCTTTTGGCTTGCCCTGGGTTTCATGGTTTGAGGAGGGTTACACTTACTTGAACCCTGGTCCATACATCTGAGTAGTGATTGTTGGTGTAGCACAAGATGCCTGTTGCTGCTGCTGCAGATGAAGGATCAGAATGAAACTGAAATGTGTAGGAGGGGAAGGACGTGAGGTGCTTGGTGAGCTGGAGGTCAGGCAGTAGAAAGGGCCCAACGTACAGCCTCGTGCTGCCTCCTGGTCATTAAAGCACATTCAGGGCAGCAATAAGGACAAATTAGCCATGCTGCTTTGTCACAGACCTATTCCTGTGTCCCTTTCAGGTTCAAGACAGAGGTGAATTACGACACCCTGGAAGTGCGCGACGGCCGCTCCTATTCGTCCCCGTTGATAGGTGTCTATGATGGGACTCAGGTGCCCCAGTTCCTCATCAGCACCAGCAACTACCTCTACCTCCTCTTCACCACTGACAAAAGCCACTCCGACGTAGGCTTTCAGATCCGATACGAAAGTAAGTGCGAGCTGTTCAGGTAATTACGCGCTCTCCAGCAGCACAATGGCCTCAATCAGGGCCCGTCGGCCGCGTTGTCCCCTTGCCAGGCAGTCAGCGCCGTGAGGCTGATTGGAGAGCGGGACCCTACTGCAAGGGAAGAAGCAGTTTCTGCTTTTTGATCATTTTCTGTAGAGTATTTGAGCATCTACAGAATATTATTGATTGTAGGAGGAAGATTTGAGTTCCTCCAGTACTTTGAGGATAACCAGGAGGACTTTGAATGAGCTCCTGGAAGGGGTTGAGCCTTCCCTTTGAGTGCTCTGACACGAGTGGGTTTGTTTGCCGCAGCTGTGAAGCTCCAGTCCGACCACTGCTTGGATCCGGGGATCCCGGTGAATGGCCAGCGCCACGGGAACGATTTCTACGTGGGGGCACTGGTGACGTTCAGCTGCGACTCTGGCTACACCCTGAGCGACAGCGAAGCCCTGGAGTGCGAGCCCAACTTCCAGTGGAGCCGGCCGCTGCCCAGCTGCGAGGGTAAGGATGCAGGAGGTAACATCTGCAGGGGGTGTCCCTGGCCATGGCAGAGGAGTTGGACTAAATGATCTGTAAAGGTCTCTTCCAACCTAAAGCATTGCATGGTTCTGTAGATATGAGATGGCAAACTGCAGATCCACTGCCAAAGCACAGCAAGAATTGTGATCTTCACGGTGACGTTTGATCTGTGTGTTTTGTTTGATTTCGATGGGTTGGGCTGTGTTTTGACATTCAGAACTGATGTTCTTCCAGCTGATGGTGGGTTTTGAACTCTTTAATTCAAATCGAATTCTTTATTTTTTTGCAGCTCTATGTGGAGGTTACATTCGTGGTTCCAGTGGCACCATCTTATCCCCAGGCTTCCCTGATTTTTATCCCAATAACTTGAACTGCACGTGGACGATAGAAACGTCACATGGAAAAGGTGAGAAACCTTTAGCTTAGAGATGGGCTGGAGGATGGTGGTCGGTGTAAGCCGAGTTAGTCTCCAGTTTTGTCTGATGTTGGGTACCCATGTGCTTGGCCATTCTTGACACCGCTCAAACATCGTCTCTGGACGAGATGCAGAGGTGTTTAGTGTCACAGCTCTTAATCCCTTTAAGGGGGAGAGGATTAAGAGGGAAAGATGGTCACGTATCGAACCCTCAGAGCTGAGAGCCTGCGCCAGGCATTATCTTTGGTTTCAGACCTTTGTGGCAGCGTCCTCTGGGAAGTTATTTGGGTACCTGGTATTGCTTGTAATGTCACACAGAGGAAAGGGCGAGCTGCCACTGACACCACCTCAGTGATATTTGGTGCTCGAGAGCACTTTAAGCCTTATTATTCTTTGCAGTGCTGGATCACCATCTAGATAACTTTTTACAGATGGAGAAGAGGAGTTTGTAGTGAATCATTTCCAGCCATGGGGCAGGGCTTGGGCTCTCCTCTCCCAGCTCTGCCTTAGTTCTGCAGCTCTCATTTCCCCACCATCTTCGAGTATTGCCAGCGCAGAGGCAAAGTGCAGAGCTATTTGGTCCAATCTCCGGTGCAGCACAGGCCAGTCTTTTGTCTTGGAGGAAAATCTCGAGAAAAGGCATCACTGAGGATTAGAGAGCGAGTTTTATGTGCAAGGGCAGGGGCTGATTTCTCCTGATCCAGTCGGTATCTGCCTGCGGTAAAGCACAAAGGGTATAAACCCTTTCATGTGACTTTATGTGCTCTTCTGGAAGTGTCTCGCCATACCGGATATCAGCTCGACGGGAGCATCATGAGCCAATTTTGCAAATACCATTTGTATTACAGCAAATAAACTTGTCAATGAGCAGCACAGTGCATTAAGGGAGCCATCGCACGCTGTGAAAAGTATTCTGTTGAGTAGCAGCAATCCACTCTTCATTAATCCACTCTGCCTTGGATTCAGCGCTCCGGCAAGGCACCGCATTATCCCGTAGCTCAGCACAATGCAGCAAACCGACACTCTTTTATATCAAAAAAGTGCAGCTCCCATGGCCTGGGCGCTTTTATGCCAACATCAGAAGAAAATCTTCCAGCTAAGCTAAGCAAGGCTCGAAGAAACACGGTGAATTTTCAAATAGTGGAGGTATGGCTACACAAGTCGAGATGCTTTTCTGTCCCCTGTTCTGTTGAAAAGACCCTGCTGTGGCCAATTCATTAGCACAGGAATTCAGCCCTTGATCCAGCTGTCCTGAACCAGACGGTGTTTGTCACAGTGAGAGGAGCTGGATGCTGAGCTGTCTGCAGAGCTGGTCCTGGTTTAGCTGTCTGATAAAATTGTGGCCTTACTGCAGGTAGTGAATATTAGGAAATCGAATTGTGAGCTGCTTGTTGTGAAAACGCACAGGGCTCCAGAGCTCTGACAAGAGTTTTGGGTCTTTCTTACCTCTTACCTTCTAACCTCACCTCTCAGGTTGTGCTGGAAAGGTGAGGGCAAGACTCTGAGTGTTTGGTACAGAAGAATCTCTTAGGTTCGTGAAAGGAGCACGTTCCTGTTGTGTTGTGTTTGGTGTTTTCATCCCTTTCCTTGTCAGCTGCTTGGGTGTGGAAATCTCCAAACCCAGTGAGAGGTTGGGGCGAGGGAAGGGGACAGTTATGGTGCAGTTATGATAAGCTGGTGCATGGCCGTGTTATGTCAGGGAAACCTCTCCTCATCCCTGTGCTCTGTGTGAGCAGTTCACTTACCCCTGTAACCAGAGGAGGAGGTGGACAAAGCTGTCCTTTTCTCACGTTGAAACGTGTTCAGCTGCTGGGCTGTTGGTGGGAGCATGTGTGCATATACACAGGTACATACGTACACGTCCGTTCTCCTGCAGCTGTATCCCGTGTTTCTTGGTGCTCTGCTCTCCCAGCTGTGGTGCTGTTAAACTGCTGTGTAACGCATTGCAATGAGCTGCTCCCGGCTCCTTTCAGCATTCCCGCAGCGTTGGAGCAGGGGAACATTGCGATCCCAAGGCAGAGCTGCTGCGACGAGGGGAGTTTGGTCCTTGGAGAGCAGACCAGGCGCTACTGAAAGGCACCACGAGCCCCATCCTCTGCCGCCTTCATGGGCAGCATGGGGTCTTCTCCTTGTGCCTTGTCCTGGTCTTGGAGACCCCCTCAGAGATCATTGGGGAAATTTGGTGCTTGCCAAACCAAGAAGCTTTAACAACTCTGCTCCGAGCAGGGGATGTGTTTACATGAGTTGTTGGCTGTGGTACCTGATTTTTCTTGTTCTGGTTTTACATTTCCCACACCTATTGATGCCTCACAGCTTGGGCTTACAGCGCTGCTGTCCCAGGCCTGGGAAGCCTTTCAGTTCCCAAAAAAGAGAAGAGAGGTCAGGGCTGGAGCCTCCCAGTCCAGCAGAGGATTCCCAGTCCAAACCAGGACCGGACAGGGGTGATCTGCATCTAAAAACTGGTCTCAGGTTTTTCCCTCCCAGGTCTTTATGAAGCTCTCACACGTGGCCAGCACACGAGTCCCTTAATTGGAACAAGTCGGGTGTTTTTATGTGACTGCAGACGCTGATTTGCTTTATGGACTCACGAGCTGTACAATTTGAGTTTGAAAGCAGCTTAATTTTAAAGGTATTTAAATGCTTAAAGAGGGACTATTATTTTTAATCTGAGAACTTCAGAGTGATTTCTTTTCCCTGTAATTTGTTTTGTTGTTTCTTTTACGGAGAACGGGGAAAAAAAAAACCCCAACCCAAACCTGCGTTTGCAGAGGCATTTTGTGCCGCAGTAGATTTCAGACGAGAGCAAAGGTTTAATCAGAGTCACAAATTCTTTAAAATGAGTTTGTAATTAACCCTTGTGGCTGCAGTGACACAGCCCTGAGCTGGCTCTGCTGCCGTAGAGGCCCCGTGTCCTGCGATTGCCGTTGTTACCTGACAGGACCTGGAGTCAGCGCTGCCCTCCCAGCCCCAGGACTGAATTATGCTCGTGTTGCCTTGGTCCTGTGCTGATTTCAGTGGAGCGCTGTTACTTCTCTTCCTTAGATTGGCTTTTGTAAAGGTGAGGGCATAAATTCGCTGCCAGTTGATAAACAGGGAGAACTTAAGATGTTTTGTATTCGCTGCGTCTCTCCAGGTTTGCAGGCCAAAGCAGTCGTATCTGTTTTCAATCGAGTACAGTGCCAGTAAGAATAATAAAACATTTGGAAACTCTTACACGTTTCCTACCTTCGTGGAGATCTGCGGGGGAAGACGGGAACTGAAAATTTTCTGTCAGGCTCTGTGTAACTTTTACCTGGAGGTAAGGAAGGCATTGGCCAAGTCAAGACCCCTTCCCATCGTCACTGAGCAGTGAATCACACAAACCCTCTCGCCTGGGACACTGAGGGTGAGCAGAGCACCATGAGCTGTGCCTTAGGGATGATGATGGGGAAGGACCAGGGCAACTGGGGGGACCCCATGAGCCCCCCTTCTTCCCAGTGCAGTGATCTCCATGGGAAAGGCCTTGTGTTGGTTACCAGCCTCTCTGTCCTTCATTTCTTGGAAGGCAACTGCTTGCATTGCAACCAATAAACCTCCACAATTAAACTGGGTAGACATCGGGATAAATGGAATATTCAGGCTTATAATTTGATGCTGGCAAAAAACTGTTGGGCTGGATATTAAATCTCATGCTCCAGAGCTTTAATGAGTCTCTAAGTTGGACTCATCCCGACCTCCAGAAATGAATGGGTGAGCAAGGAGGAGATTATTCCTTATTTCCAGATGTCCCGTGGTTGCTTTGGCAGCAGCTGATGCCGGACCTTGGCAGAGATGGGTTGCAGAGCACGACAGCCCTTGGGTCCCCCCCGTGCTGGCAGCCCCTGTTGTGTTCGTCACCAGCTTCGGCAAAATAACCCGGTGGTGCCATAGCAAGGAGGTGGGGATCCTCCTTGACTGATGCAGAGCAGATCGCAGCGCCCGTGTTTGCTCTGTCGAGTTCAGTGGGGTTAACAGGAGCTTTGTAAAGCCCAGTTCAGCTTGAGCAGGGGGTCAGGAGCTTTCCCCCGTGGTGCTCGGAAAGCACGCAAAGATCTTTGGGCGGAAGGAGCCGTATAAATGCAAAGAGGCTTTTTTTTATCGCTAGGCATCGCTTCAGCGTGCTGACTTGGTGTGACGGCAATGTGACAGGGTTTCTGATCCACAAGCCCTGCCTTGCTTTGCTCTCTGAAAGCTGTTGCTGCCATTTTTAGTTGTTCAAAGACGGAATTATTTGCTGGAGAATAAGTGTTTCTAATTGTGTCTGAATTCCAGCGTGAAAAATCACCTAGCTGGAGGCTTTTGCAAAAGCCTGGAGTACTCACTGCTTTGTGTCTGTAGGTGTGAAGGAGACTTCCAGTAATCCCTTACTCCTTTCTTCTTCATTTACAAATGCAGCAGGGTCACAGCCTCCCCACCAAAACGTTTCCAGTTGTTGAAATTGAATCTGGAAACAGAGTCAAAACGGTTTCCCTGTGTTTGCCTGTTCTTCCTGTAGCTGGATCTGTTCGTGGGGTTTATTTTTGGTGCTATAATGTGGATAAAAGCGTAGGGTTCGCTTCGGATCTGAGATCCGATCGCAGTCGGCAGTGGCTGCGTGTGCGCTCCCCACCACGTGCACTGGAGGGGATGGCAGGGCCTGGGATGGGGACATGGGCAGGGGAGGCCCAACAGCATCCACCTCCCAGTAGGACAGGGCTGGGCACTGGGGCGAGGTGCTGGGATGTGCTGGGATGTGATCATCCCCCTGTACTCGGCACTGGTGAGGCCGCACCTCGAGTGCTGTGTTCAGTTCTGGGCCCCTCACTAGAAGAAGGATGTGGAGATTCTGGAGCGTGTTCAGAGAAGAGCCACAAGGATGGGGAGGGCTCTGGAGAACAAGCCTGATGAGGAGCGGCTGAGGGAACTGGGCTTGTTTAGCCTGGAGAAGAGAAGGCTGAGGGGAGGCCTCATCACCACCTACAACTGCCTCAAGGGAGCTTGGAGAGAGGTAGGGGCTGATCTCTGCTCCCAGGTGATGGGGATAGAACAAGGGGAAACGGCACCAAGCTGTGCCAAGGGAGGTTCAGGTCAGAGATAAGGAGGAAGTTCTGTACTGAGAGGGTCGTCAGAAGCTGGACCAGGCTGCCCAGGGAGGGGGGGGAGTCCCCATCCCTGGATGTGTTTAAAGAGCGGGTAGACGAGGTACTTAGGGATATGGTTTAGGGGGTAGACAGGAGCGGCTGGACGTGATGATCTCAGAGGGCTTTTCCAACCGAGTGATTCTGTGATTTTGTTGATTCTGTGATGTGCTGGGAGGGAGCGTGGCTGCACAACGTGGCCCTTGTCACAGCTGGGGGCCGTGTGTGGCCGAGGACGCAGGTTTGTCCGGGTGTGATGGCTCTGGTTGTTCTCCAGCCTCGGTCCCCTCAAAGGAAGGTGCGCAGGGTCCCTGCAGTCGCACTGCTGGCACGTTTGATCTTCTGGAAGATTTTTTTTTTGATACTTGGCTTAAGTCCTGTTTTTCTAGGTATGAATCCCTTCCAGAACATCACTTGGGTTTGTTATTTTCAGGTCCTCACAACTACAGCTTTTGCTGTTCCTGCTACACATCTAAAGGTCAAGCACTTTTAAAGTAAAATACTCCTCTAAGCTCCGGGCTGGGTCCTTTCTGCTGCTGCATCCCTCGAGCGAGCCTGCGTCGCCTCTGTTCCTGTGGTACAAAGGGATTGAAGATCTCGGCTGCCTTTCTGAGTTCTGGGCCTTGTACCGTACCCGTGTTTGACATTCTTCATCTATTTCATTTCTTTTCAGTGTGCTTTTCCTTCTCAGTTTGGCTCGTATGGACTGGGAGACAGGGAATCCATACTGGTGTCACGTCAGGGAGAGGAGAGGCCGAAGGGGGCCCTATGAACGCTGCGGGCTGAAGCCATCTCTGTTTTCCCTCCCCTGCAGGCGTCTTCTTCACCTTCCACACCTTTCACTTGGAGAACGGCCACGACTACCTCCTCATCACCGAGAACACCAGCTTTGCCCAGCCGCTGAAGCAGCTGACGGGCTCCCGGCTCCCTGCCCCGCTCAGCGCCGGCCTCTTCGGGAACTTCTCTGCTCAGATCCGCTTCATCTCTGACTTCTCCATGTCCTATGAGGGTTTCAACATCACCTTCTCAGGTAAGGACAAGGGTGGGCGGAGATTTCATCCCTTAAATTTCCTTCCTGCTTTTTCTATCTTGGGAATAACTTTACTGATGCAGCGCACGTGATTTGGGTCACTGGCAGCCGCTCGTCTTGTAAACCCAGTGAATTATTCTCACATTAAACCACAGCGTGCTCCAAGAAATACTCTCGGTGCAGTCCCCATATCACCAGTTTTGTCTGCTCTGAGCCCCAGTAGGTGACTGGATTGAACCCACTGAAGTGAAACCCCACTACAACGGTGTTTACTGCCTTCTCCCTCCTCACACCCTCATCTTTTCTGCTCTGTTCATGGTGTTTTGGCGAGCATTTTCTTGGGCTTGTGCTTATCCCCTTTCCATCCAGATACCTTCCTTCTCTGTTTATCGGAGGACAGTCACTGCAGTAGTTTTACAGCCTTTCCAGCACGGGAAGCTGGGCCAGATGGGATCTTTTGGAAGGCGACATTGAGAGCAATCTGGACATCTTGGACAAGGAGCAGTGCGGAGCTGCTCGCTCCCGTTGTCCGTCTGCTCGCTCTCTTTTCCATCGGTTCATTGCTCCACTTGGATGCTCATCCAGAACCAAGCCACTGCTGTTGCAAGCTTCAAGCCTAATTATACAAAATGCTGGTTTCTTCGAGTGCAATTGCAGATTTGGAGGCGTTGTGGATGAAGAGCAGCGTGTGCGTGGTGCTGTTGGAGAGAGACTCGAGGAAAGGCTCGTTTGCCTGTGCAGAACCCATCACCCCACGTGTAAATAATCACCAGCTTGGCATGGGGAATCTCCCATTGAAGTGCTGGTGTTTAACTGTGTCCTTGAACCCAAAGTCCCACAAATGACTGCACAAGTGTTTGCCTGGGTGCATTTTGGAAAATACAACCTTTGCTCCTTGAGTGCCCCAGCAAGCTGTCCTGTGAAAATACCAGTTAATGGGCAAAAACTTTCTGGATAGGAGCTGTTCTTTTTGGTATCTCTTTTAGTCCTGAGGACAACGGCTGCGAATTCACCCTGCTGGCATGGGGGGAAAATGGCTTTTTATTGTGGAGCTCGGTGCCAGTGTGGGCGCTGCCTTTGATGGCCAGAGCCATTATAAGTGCAGATTAAACCTGCATAGAGAGGACTGGTTTCGGGTACTTTGTCCTGGCCTCTGGAGTCAGGGATTTGCATGTGATACTCCATGGAAACCAGTCAGAAAGTTTCCAATTAACTTCCATTTTGATGGGTGAAAATGGCTCTTTGCCCTTAAAAAAAAATTGCCTCAAATTGTCTAATGATAACTATTATTTTTAATGGGGTTTGAGACTTCTTTCTTGCAGAATGAAAATGGGAGTCAGTTATGTTTTTACCTTCCTTTAGATACATATGTACACATTTTGTGCTTTGCAGGCCTGTTATTTTTCAAAAAATAACCCTCAGAGCAGGTTCCCTTCAAAATATTTTGTGGTCAAAGACATCCATTTGGCCATTAGCCATAATGCTACATGACCTTTCATTTAACAGCAGCTTAAATGTTCTCCTGTGTTCCCCAGGCAGGATGCTGTGTTCATTCATTTTCAGGATTAGTAATGTAGAGGCAGCAGAAATCCCATCCGAATCGATTCATCTTTATTTGACTAAACCAGAGGGAGAAGGAGGAATTTCCGCCGTGTTTTGTCACCGCTGATGTCGCTTTCTCATTTGTCAGACGGCCGTGACAGCAAACCAGACCTGCTGTGTTTGGAGTTGGTTTAAATCAAGATCCTGGTGTCACCCTGGGGGCTTCGTATTGAGAGTGAAATCCAAGTGGGGTTCAGATGGGATGTACATCTTGTGTGGATGCTTCCTTTGCAGAGCTTCGCTGCAGCTGCATCCAAACTCCTTCCTCCCTCCTCATCCTCATATTCAGGAACCAGGGAGTGCAAGGTGTCACCTTGCCACTCCATAAATGTCCCTTTGTCCCCTGTAGAGTACGATTTGGAGCCCTGTGACGAGCCGGAGGTGCCAGCCTACAGCATCCGCAAGGGGCTGCAGTTCGGCGTGGGGGACGTCCTCACCTTCTCCTGCTTCCCCGGGTACCGGCTGGAGGGCGCATCCCGCATCACCTGCCTGGGGGGGAGACGGCGTGTGTGGAGTTCGCCTCTGCCAAGGTGTGTTGGTAGGTGGTCATGTGCTTTCATTTTGCTTGGTTGGTTACGCTGTGCTGGATGGTTTCGGTGGGCAGGGATGGGGTGGCATCCAAAGGAGCCTGGAGCGAGCTGTCGGCCCCACAACTGTGTGTGGGGATGGGGTACACACACAGAGGGGCTGCAGCCCTCTCCCAGCAGCCAGGGTCACACACAACAGCGTCCCTGTGTCCCCACAGCCCATCCCCAGCGCCGTGGTTGAGCTCCGGTGATTGTACAAGTGAATAAATCACCAGCTGTGGGAGAGCTGTCATCCCTTTGGGATGGGTTCTGTAAAACAGCAGGGCTTTAAGGCCGTCCTCCCTTTGAATCAGTGCTGTAAAGCTTAATAGCCCAGACCTGAAAGCAGCTTCTGGGTGGGTGATCTCAAGCAATGCAAATTCCACGTTAATATGGATATCTCTGGGAAACCCCAGTGGCTTTTACCTTTTCCTTATCCTCCAGATGTTTCTTGCACCTCTCATCTTTCCCTTTCCTCTGCTCCTTACCGTTGCAAGTCCTTTTTGCAACCCCTCCAGCCGTTATTTATACTAATAAATAAATCTGAGGCTGGAGGAGGGGAGAGATCTGTCTGCCACACGGAGCTGGTTGCTGGCTGCCGTCCCCGATGCAGATGGGCCGCAGACACCGGAGTCTGGCAGGGTCTGCAGAGCCGCCCCTGCCCAGCCCACGGCGCTACCATCAGTGTAAAACAACAGAAGTGCCAATGTGCTACAGCAAGAAAGCAGAAAGGATGCTGCAGGCCGTTGTAGAAAGGTTTAACATGTTTTCTTGTACAGTTTAGTAAGTGGGAAGCTGTTGAGTGCTCTGCTGCTGCCTGGCTCCCCCAGGGCCACCAAGGATTCATTCACATCAGGCAGACCACATCTCTTACATCTTTTCACCCTGGCAAAGCCTGCTAGGTAGATTTTCCTGTGTTAGTGACATCTGAGGGCCGTTGCAAAGGCAGCATCCCGGCAAGGACCGGTCTGCTTTCCTCATCTGCTGAGTCGTGTCACGCTGAACGCGTTTCTCAACACCGAGGTCAGGGGCTGCATCATCCTGCGGTGACAAGCAGCCTCTTCAGGGCATGAATAATAATCAGGGCGCAGAGAAAGCTAATCAGGGGAATAGAAATCAGAAAGAGTCGTAACAGAGCTTTAAACTTCATCCTCAGACGTCAGCACCGAGTGGATGGTTTCCATTTGCCAGCTCCCCACTGCGGCTGGCTCCGGACCAGCGTGGTGGCTGGGTAGTGATGGGTCAACCTCACCGTCCGTTGACGTGCACTGGTGGCTGGGTGACAGCTTTGTCCTCGGCGTCCCTGTGCTCACCCTGGATATGGATGGATACTGGAGACTTACCCGTTAAGATACAGGAGATTTAATTGGTTTTGCCAGACAACGCAGATGCTTTGTATTAAATTCCTGGCCCAGAGATGGATCTGGAGAGAAATAGGAGCGGTTTGCTCCTTTGGCCAACCCCTCTCCACATTGGGATGCTCCCCACCAACTGCTACTTCAGAGCAGATCCTGAGTGGTGATGTCTCCAGCATCATCCCTGGGTGAGCTGCACAAAAGCAAAATAATAATAATATAATATAATATAATAATAAAACCAAAATCATTAGTAAAGCCGTTTTCGGGGCAAGCTGGAGCGGCTCTCCCCAGCCGTGCATGCAGAGCAGGACTCAGAGGGACGGGGAGCTGGTGTTTTACAGCGGAAAAGCTTTCAGGGTAAACAGGCCGAGAAAACAACAACTCATGGTTTGCTCACATGGGAGCTAATCAGGGAGTAACGAAAAATCCTGAACACACGGTGGTTGCAAGGCAGATTTACATGTGCTGGGGATTGTGTGTGTGTGTATGTACATAGATATATGCAGTGAACAGGCAGCAATGGTCCTTGCCAAAATCAGGCACTCCGACAAGGCAGCTGGCAGCAGGGAAAGGTTGCTTGCTTGCTTTCCTTCCTTATTTCCTTTTTTTTCTCAAATCATGGCAGTTTATAACCAGTCACAGAATCACAGAATCACAGAATGGCTCGGTTGGAAAAGCCCTCTGAGATCATCACGTCCAACCGCTCCTGTCTACCCCCTAAACCATATCCTTAAGTACCTCATCTACCCGCTCCTTAAACACATCCAGGGATGGTGACTCCACCACCTCCCTGGGCAGCCTGGTCCAGCTTCTGACGACCCTCTCAGTAAAGAACTTCCTCCTTATCTCTGACCTGAACCTCCCTTGGCACAGCTTGGTGCCGTTTCCCCTTGTTCTATCCCCCATCACCTGGGAGAAAAGACCAGCACCCACCATCCAGTCATAGGATATAAACTCATCTCAGAGAAGGGAAAAACGCTTACCATGAACTACCCAAATCCTCCTGGTTCCCTGAGCAGGGAGTATCTGGGGCTGCCTCATCAGCATCCTCCTGTGTCCCAGTGAAATGTCCATTTGCTCCGTGCCGCAGAAAAACCTGCCCCCGCTGTGGCTCTGTGAGTGACGTTTTGGGAGGAAGCAGAGACATGTAAATTGGAGCAGTTTCCAGAACTGGGAGGCAAAAGGGGCTCTGGTTTTCGCTCTTTGACGGGAATAGATGTAATCATTAACTGCAAAGCTGGGAAGAATAAAAAAGCAGGGACAAGAGGTCCTTGCAAATACTGTCAGGCGCTGAACTGGAGAGCTGAGGGCAGCATTAACAACAAAGAAGGTCAAATTGTGTCCTCTTAGCGTTCCGGGAATTATTTGGGGTGAGATTTTTAAAATTCAGACCTAGCTTTATCTTTTGTAATTATTTGGAAATTTCACCAAGCGTAGCTTTCTGCACAAAGAGCTCTGGCGTTTGCAGCAGTCGGTGGTGTGCTGTGTTGGCTGCTGAATGAATACCATGATTTTTATATACTATAGATAGTGTGTATATATATATTTATGTACTATATATAGGTGTAGGATGAGCTTTGCATCAGTATTAAGAATACTTTAAATATTTCACTCTATTAATATGTTTTTATTTCCTTCTGGTTCCTGAAGCAGGAAGGATCATAAGCACAGGCGATGTTTCAAGCAGGTGGTGGCTTTCCAGGGATTTGGGGATGTTTTTCTGAATGGGGTCCCGAGATGGCATTGGAGCACGTCAACTTTCCGTGACTCAGTTTCCCTACCTGTATAAGGAGATAATATCTCTCTCCTATGAGGCACCTGAGGTTTAACGGTGACAGAAGTGCTGTTAAGTGCAGTTTTGTTCACCGACTGCGCTTGGAAATAGCGTCCGTGGCTGTGTTAGCAGATGGGTGAGGAAGGAGTGAGCATCTGCGGCCGTTTGGAGGAGTCTCCTGCATGTGTTGGATGGCTGGAGCATCCGTGTGGTTATTAAAACGCGCTTTTGTGTCTCCATACAGCTGAATGTGGCTCGTCTGTGACGGGAACCCAAGGTGTCCTGCTGTCCCCCAACTACCCGTTAAACTACAACAACAACCACGAGTGCATCTACTCCATCCAGACCCAGCCGGGAAAGGGGATCCAGCTGAAAGCCAGGACTTTTGAACTGGAGGCAGGAGATGTCCTCAAGGTAATTCTGTCTCTAGCAAGGAGAACAAGGCCCGAATGGGCAGTGAAGTTCTCAAATGTTAATGGCATTAGCTGAGACTGACCTCTGGAAAATGCCACCCAGGCCCGGACAGGGCAGTGTGATCTCATACTGGGGCTACTGGGGACCGGTACTCACGGCTGCGTCATTCAGTGGCTGGCACGGACAGTTTGACAGCAGCAAAATTCATATATTCAAAAATATATAAAAGATACCGTGTGATTTTAGGCAGCAGCGCTCAAACGATGGTGAATGTCCTCTGCACTTCAGCCCAGCTGAAGTTATTCGGGGCTGCAGTCTGCAGAAAGACACGTAAACAAATTCTGCCTCCATTAAAAATGCAGGTGTCTTTGCACCTTCTGCTGTGAAGTCTGCCCTGAGATTTCGAGATCTGTTGAAGTGCCAGGGGTTCTTCCTTTTGTAACTCAACTTCAATTCTTATCCACACAGTAGCGCAGGGGAAGCTGTGAGCACATGAGCAAGTGTGAGGTTCTTAGCGTTGTTTTGGTGTTTTTTAAGAACCAAGGCTGATCTGTCCCAAAAAGGGCTTTGTTTAAATGCAAAACTCCAGACTCTTCAGCATTGCCATATTCAGATCAATCTGCATTTACAAGTTTCAGGACACTCTGCACAAGGAGACAAATCCAGGCTGAGTTTCTATTAACCACAGAGAAAGGGTTTTGTAGGAGGCATTAATATTACAAGACGTGTGCTGCTGTGCTAAGCCATCTTCCCCGAGAACTCCGTCCTTATTTAAGTGCCGTACTTCTGCACTGCCAGATAGGTGTAATCCACCTACTTTCAGCTCACAAATGACTGGAAAGAGAGAGATTTGCAGCTGATGCAAAAAAACACGCTCGTTGTGAAAGAAATGATGCTCCCTCAACAGGTTTGTCATCAACTTCTCATCTGCTCCTGAGGGAAGTTACTATCAATCTCCTCTAGCGAGAAGTTGCTCTTTATCCTCACAGAGAAGCGTGCTATCTAAAAGAAAGAATAAAAAATAATTGTGTTTTTCTTAAATAATAGTGGAATGAAGGCACATCTGTGAGTCACTGTAGGGAGAAAATGTGCAGCGCAGCTACTGGGAAAAACTTTTGGAAAGAGAGCATGGTTCAGAAAACACAGCCCTGAGTGCGGTGTTGTTTTTCTTAAATAATAGTGGAATGAAGGCACATCTGTGAGTCACTGTAGGGAGAAAATGTGCAGCGCAGCTACTGGGAAAAACTTTTGGAAAGAGAGCGTGGTTACACCCTGAGTGCGGTGTAAGCTCAGGAGTAAGGAGAAGGATGCTCGAGGTAAGAGGAAGGGTGCTGAGGGTAAGGATGCGGATGCTCCAGGGTATGAATCCTGCTCCTTGGACAAGCAGCATCCTGAAATCTCACGGAATCAGACTCTTAGTTTTGGGATCATTTCCCTGGTTTCAAAGGAGCTGTTGTTGGGGATGATTTGATCCCTGAAGTGGCAAACAAAATCTGTTTCCCATTGTGTGCTCCTTGTTCCTCCCAGGTCTATGATGGCACCAACAGCTCTGCTCGACTGCTGGGCTCCTTCAGCCGCTCCGAGATGCTCGGCACCAGCATCAACAGCACTTCCAGCAGCATGTGGCTGGAGTTCATCACCAACAGCGACAACACCAGCAAAGGCTTCGAGCTGCAGTTTTCCAGTAAGTCTTGGGCCCATATGGGCTTGTGAGGTGGGAATCTGAGGTGTAATGGTGCATTTATGTGTTGTGTGACCAGAGGAAACCATCCCTTCCTCAGAGATCTTGGTGTTCTGAAGTGGAATCGGAGGGGGAGATGATTATACCAGTGAACCTTTTCTGTTGTGGATGAGGCAATGGGGATACTGGAGCTTTGGATCGAAGCTGAGATACCAGATTTCTGGGATCTCGTTCAAATATTAATTAGAAAATTACTAGTTTTCAATATGGTGTTTTTTTCTCTCCAGCAAATGATATTAAGAAGAAAATATTAATGTGATCTTGCGTTAATATCTCCTGGCTGTTAAATATCAGATGAAAACAGATGCTGTTTCTCCCGCTCCAGGTTTTGAACTCATCAAGTGCGAGGACCCTGGCATCCCACAGTTCGGTTACAAGGTCCACGACGAGGGACACTTTGCTGGCAGCTCCGTGTCCTTCAGCTGCGACCCTGGCTACACCCTGAGAGGCAGCAGGGTCCTGGTCTGCCTGACCGGGGAGCGCAGAGCCTGGGACCAGCCCCTGCCGACCTGTGTAGGTGAGACAGCTCCTGCTTTTACAGCAGCTTCTAACCAATACTGTGCTTGTGGGCATCACTGAACGCCCTTTCTTCCTCCTTTGCTACCAGCTCCGTGTCCTTCAGCTGCGACCCTGGCTACACCCTGAGAGGCAGCAGGGTCCTGGTCTGCCTGACCGGGGAGCGCAGAGCCTGGGACCAGCCCCTGCCGACCTGTGTAGGTGAGACAGCTCCTGCTTTTACAGCAGCTTCTAACCAATACTGTGCTTGTGGGCATCACTGAACGCCCTTTCTTCCTCCTTTGCTACTGCGTATGAAACCAATACTGTGCTTGTGGGCATCACTGAACACCCTTTCTTCCTCCTTTGCGTATGACATTAACTCTGATACCAACCACCTTGATGAATCACAGAATCCCAGACCGTCAGGGATTGGAAGGGACCTCCAAAGCTCATCCAGTCCAATCCCCCTGCCGGAGCAGGAACACCCAGATGAGGTTACACAGGAAGGCGTCCAGGCGGGTTTTGAATGTCTGCAGAGAAGGAGACTCCACAACCTCTCTGGGCAGCCTGGGCCAGGGCTCTGTCACCCTCACTGAGAAGAAGTTTCTTCTCCAATTGAAGTGGAACCTCCTGTGTTCCAGTTTGTGTCCATTACCCCTTGTCTTATCATTGTTTGTCACCGAGAAGAGCCTGGCTCCATCCTCGTGACACTCACCCTTTAAATATTTATAAACATGAATGAGGTCTCCCCTCAGTCTCCTCTTTTGCAAACTAAAGAGCCCCAGCTCCCTCAGCCGCTCCTCAGAAGGGAGATGCTCCACTCCCTTGATCATCTTTGTAGCCCTACGCTGGACTCTCTCCAGCAGTTCCTGTCCTTCTTGACCTGAGGGGCCCAGAACTGGACACAATATTCCAGATGTGGTCTCACCAGGGCAGAGTAGAGGGGGAGGAGAACCTCTCTGCCCTACAACCACCCCCCTCCTGATACACCCCAGGATGGCATTGGCCTTCTTGGCCACAAGGGCACAGTGCTGGCTCATGGTCATCCTGCTGGCCACCATGAAGACCGTGGTGAGGACACTGTGTAAAGATGGAGAGCACTGCTCTCCTCATAACTTCTACACCCCATCCTAATGTGAAACACTGGGCTCTGAGCACAGGGTTTCTTGCTTCCCTGCAAGGAGACGATGGCATTTCCAGTCCTTGTCCTCTCACCTGCATCTGTTAACCAGTGGCACTGTGATACTGGCAGACATCAGCGTTTGACAGCTCGAAGTCGTGTTTATTTGAGAGCTACGTGACACCCCATTGCAGATCCGCAGACGTTTTAATTCCCTCAGTCCTTTTGTAGCTAAGTTTTGAGCTCCCTTTCACCAGAAGGGTATCTTCTTGCTTGGAAAATTCTGATATTAAGGTTTATGCATCTTAATGAAGTGCTGTTGATCTGTTAGTTCGTAATTAGTGGGCGTTTCCAGGACATGGTGAAGTTATTGCTGATTTAGTCCTCTGAGAGATCTCAGCAACAGCAAGCTGCTTGCATGGTTAAAATTGATGTACTCAGACATTGGCAGTCTGCGTTCTCCCATCAGCTCTATCCATTCTTTGTGTGATAACCCGCTGTTAAATTTTCACCTTGGTTATTGAGGTTAAAAAGACAAATTTCTGTGATTTATGCATCTTCTTAGACTTCACCCTGTTTGCTATACGTATATTACGTATGAGTGGTCCTGTCTGTGTGGGCACTTGGAAACTTGAAGAATTTTGATGGATAGGTTATGAAAATGCATTCAAAGTCCTCACGTTCTTTTGAGGTTCGTTTAGTAGCTACATGCTTATGTTGGCTTTTCTGTCCCACTGATGAATCATTATGAAGTTTTGCAGATACAAGCAGAAGAGATGAGCTCTTTTCACCCCCCTGTGTGAATCAGGACAAGCAGGATGCTGGCAGGCTCTGCCTTTCCTCACTGCAAAGTCAGAGAGGTGGAGGGGAGCTTTGACAGCGCATCGGGTGCTGGGAACGTGCACAGAAGGGCAGAGTTACTCTGAATAACCCCGTCTCTTAGCTGAATTAAATGATGCTCTTTATCTGTGTTTTGTAGGCTTTAAGAGTCTCTTTAAATGGCAAGAAATACTCCCCGTTGTACTCGTAGGATGAGATTTGCATTGTTGCCAAGTGGGAACCGGAATGACTCTCCTCGCTAACCCATCTGTTTGTTTCAGCTGAGTGTGGGGGTACCATCAAAGGGGAGTCCTCAGGACGGATACTGTCTCCTGGCTACCCAACGCCCTACGACCATAATCTGAATTGTATTTGGACCATCGAGGCAGAGGCTGGTTGCACGATAGGGTGAGTTGGGCCAGGCTGTTGTAGCTTGGGTTTCTTTCCATGTACGGTGTATTTTTCCAGAAGTAGATCAATAATCGTATAAGGGAAGTAGAGAGAGCGCCCTGTCGCTTTGAGAGTCCCAAATGAAGGGACAGAGGCTGGTTTATCTCCTTGCCAGGTTGGACAGAAGTGGCATCGCTTCTCCTTGCTGAAGCCACATTATTTGTTATTGCTGCCTGTGGTGTTAATGTATTAAAATAACATCTGAGAGCTTTTACAGGCGCATACAATGTAAGTGCTTTTCTCCCCTTTCCATAATGGGATGTATTCAGGAACAAACCCAGACCTGTTGCTGTTCCAGTCCTGCACTCCCCTGTCAGTGCCCTTTTATCTTCACCGTAGCTTCCTCGCTGCATCAGCATTCATCATCTCTCCAGCAGGGACTGTTAATCACGTTGAGCTCTATGGTGCTTTTAGTCAATGGATTTATGCTGGAGATAGATTTGGTCCAGTATTTTAATTTTTACTTAATGCAGAAATTCCCTCCATTAGCTCTGCTCTTCAGCGTGCTTCAGTAATGGATGGGTTCTGCTATGAGCACAGGAGAAATTGCATAGCCAGTGCGGCTTAATTCCTGCACAGGCAACTTCCAGTTGTGCTCTCTTCTTTATTTCATTCTCCCGTAAAAGAGTCTGAAGAATCTGAAGGTTTTTATGGGCCAAAGTAGACACAAGACCCCTTTTTCTCTCCCCAAAAAGTGTAAAAGGCTGCTCCAGCCCCTGACCTCTCCTCACACCAAATCCCCGTCTGTGGCTGTAGGAGGACCTGGACCAGCAGAGCTCTGGGTTTGCCAGGCAATGGTGCAGTACAACACCTTGTGACCCTTCCTTTCATCAGAGATGAAAGCTCCCTTCTTCTGCTCCTTGGTTTGGCAGCTCAGACAGAACAGATGATCTCTGGGTAGTTGAGGGAGCACATTTTCAGCAACTTCATTTTTATGGTAATCCATTGGAAAAATAATCCTCTTCACGCATGATACAATTGCATAAAGCCCTCATTTATAACTTACATTAAAATTAATCGCCAGAGGTTTTTGAATGAAGCTGTATCTGCACAGAACGAGGGGAAGGCGAGGAAGAAGGGAGAGGCACAAAGATGAGCCCGCACCTCATTGCCATGGACGCTGTGGGGCTGCGCGTTGAGAGAGGATTAATCCTGTACACACGCACATAAAATCACAACTGGAGTGAGTTCACTTATCTGGGAGACTCTGGGGACAGGAAGAAGAAGAAGAAGTGGGAGGATGTGCTGGAAAATGGGCCATGCTTTATTGAACAGCAGCGATCTTGGTGCCATCAGCGCGAGCTCTCCCAGTCGGTGGCAGCCTCGTGGTGTCCCCCAGCCCCAGGTCAATCCATGGCATCACCTCCTGTGTCCGAGATCCTCAGCCGTGGGTTTTCTCTGACCATTTTGGCTCTGTGGGACCAGTTCCCCAAAAGCAGCCCTGGACTGCAGCTCTGCTGGGATCAACTCTCGTTTTCCTCGAGTCCAGCTCTTTTCCTCTCCGCTCAAGGTCTCTCTTCAGTAGATTTATGATTCAGCTCTTTTGATTTCTGCTGAATTCTGTGGACATCATTTTGTTGCCGAGTACATTGCAGTGGGTGGGAGTTTTTTTCCCTTTTTATGGTTCTACCTGATTTATTTATGTTTGCCCTGGATAAATGGGAGAGCAGCCAAGTAAATGCTTCCTTGTTTTCTTCCTTGGGCTGTCAGGGCTTTTTAAGCCCAGCACCTGATGTTTTGATTTTTTCAGATTTTCTCAGCACAGTTTATGGATTTTCTCACTGTTTCAGAATGCTGTGCCTCGAGTTACCCCTGCGTTTGCCTCAAGGAAATTAGATCTGCGTTCAGAGCATCGTTACAAATACCTCATTGAGAGCACAGTGCAGTTTCATTGCCAGTCACCAGTTGCTTAATTCCTGCTTTTTCTCCTTCCTGTTGTGGATTATGGAGAGCTGGCTCATGCTGCCTCACTTCTGCTGTATTTCTTGCTGAACTTACTCTTTTAGCTGATCTAGATGCAGTTATTCAATATCCATAACTCTGTAAAACATGTCAAAATCCTTTCCTGTATCAGCCACTTCTCTTCTTGGAGATGCTGCAATCCAGCATTCAGAATTTGCACCCTCCTGCACATCCTTTGCTGCCCCATTTATTAACTTTCATGACAATTAACACCCTGGTAAGGGTTTCTTTTCCAACACGCTGTTGTCTTAAGTAAAAGTGATATTGGTTGTATCCTATTTTCCCTCAATACACAGGATTAGCTTGGTGCCAGGAGGAGATTCTTTGATCTGAGGGCAGGTAACAAAAATCAATGCGTTTTATCAGCTGGCCCTTGACAATAAGCTGTTCCTCGCAGGACACCATAAAGAGCAAAAGGACAGCCAAGGTTGTTGCTGTGTGCAGCACGGGGACGATGTGTGAATTGGATGTGAACGTATGTAACGTGTCTGAAGGGACCCAGCACGTTTTCTGCTGATTCTAGAGTAAGCAAGCTCTGCCTGGGTACATTTCCATTGGCCACGATGGGCTTTTGCACCTTTACCTTGTTGCTCAAGATTTTTTAGGGGAGATTAATAATTGTATTCACTTAGGAGAGAGCACCAGAAAAGACCCAACTTTCCAGAAAGCTTTAGCAAAGGAAGCAGAGCTCAGTTCGTGCTCTGACTCCCAGCTCATTTTGCCACGCAGGCTCCACTTCATGGTTTTCCACACCGAGGAGTTCCACGACGTTCTGCGGATCTGGGACGGGCCGGTGGAGAACGGCATCCTCCTGAAGGAGATGAGCGGCTCCGTCGTACCCGGCGACGTGCACAGCACCTTCAACTCCGTCATCCTCCAGTTCAACACCGACTTCTTCACAAGCAAGCAGGGCTTTGCCGTTCAGTTTTCAGGTAGGTTTTGCCTTGGTTCCTTTTGTCCTAACCTTGCTTTGCTGACAAATGATTTCAGGTTTGTGTAGCGATGGGGAGCAAACGCCGTTGTGTTGAGCACGGGAGCAGGAGCTGAGCAGGTTCACAGCTATCTGTGCTCTGGGGGTGCAGTCTCTGCAAATGGAGAAAAACTCATGTATTTTATCCTTGCAGTGCAGGTGGATTCTGTGCCACGGTCACCTTCACAGTGCTGATCTTGGCAGCGAGATGCAGAGCTGTACGTGGCAGAATACACAAGAAGGAGTTACAGATATTTCCCACCACGTTCCCACGGGTCCATCAGAGACAGCAGTTGTGGGCAACTGCCCTCAGGCATTCAAGAGAGCGCTTGGTCAGTGGTCTCTGAAAACTGCGTCCATTTCAGCTCCCTCAAATTGGCTCCCCTGAGACGCAGATCACAAAAAGCGCTGTCGGCTGCAGGGATGTCACTGCTCACAGCAGCACTGTGTGTAATGCAGCTGCAGTCTGTCATTGCCCAGGTCCTGGCAGCCCTTCCCTAAAACTCGGCCTTGCAAGCACATTAATTTCAATTATATCGGGGTAATACATTTCAGCTCTCACGCAGAGGTTTGCAGGGTGCCAGGCTCTCACTGACACGGCCAGCAACCAACCAGCAGATGCTGATTTTGGAGATGGTAGCAAACGGGAGGTGGTTGGGTGAATGATGATACGGGACTCGGACACATGTAAGCATCAGAGCTCGTTCTGTCTCTCCCAAGCTTTTGCCCATAGCTTTCTGTTTGGGACACCTTGCATGGCCAGGAGAGCCATGGGAAGAGTTTGTGCTGGGTACAAGACCCTGTGGGATGACCAAGTCAGGGGCAGATTTTTGTGTCACCCAGCACAGCTCTGCCATCCCCTTTCGTTCCCAGACTCATGTCTCAGACTGGGCTGCTGCCTTGCTTATCTTCAGCTGCACAGAAAGAGAGCGAGGGATTTCCTCTGGCTCTTTTAAGCAGAGCTTGCTCTAAACTGACCAGGTGTAATAGACTCTCATCAACTTAGCAGGAAATGCTCTCTGCTCCGCTGCCTGATACGGAGCTGGTCTTTATTGAAGGCCTCTGCTCAAAGCCTTTGTTCACGAGGTGTGACGAAGCGGTCAGCCCTAAGCTCAGAAGTACACAGCTTTGGATCTGGTGAACTTTTAACGATCTGTGTAAGCTCGCGAAACTTCTGTTGCTGCAGGACTTTCCGTAGTGTGAAGCTGTTGTGGTGTTGACAGACCTCGAGCTCGGGTGGTGCTGCCTGTCCCCGGCTGAGAGGGAGCCGTGGGGTCATCCCCTGCCTCACGGGGATGCGGCAGCGAGTCTGGAGGGGAAGCACGTGCCCCTCGGAAAGGTCAGGCTTGATGCTTCACAGGGCTAAAGGCTGAATTGCTCTGCCACTCCGGGGAAGTGTAGAGCGCTAACGGATTAGTTGATTTTGCAGCAAGTGTCTGACACAGAATTCTATAAAAATGCCATGTAGGATCAGTGGATGTCTGGACTTATTAAGTAAACATGCGTGTGCACAATTACACATCAAACTTGCACTCTGTGTAGTGCACTTGAACTTGCCGTTCCCCAGAGCCTTCACCAGCTGGAGTGGCAGATGCTCGGTGCAAAGGCAAAGCCAGTTTTAGTGTGCGTGGCAACTTTAAGGAACACTGAGGGAGGAGAGATGAGAATGAAGTTAATGCTTGGGTATCTGTTTAAGGACAGAGTCTTAAGTACAGCCGATGCCGCAAACCTGTGTTAAATAGAAAGAGATGTATTAAATATTATATATTTTTAATATTCTTCAGTGTCCACTGCCACTTCCTGCAACGACCCAGGAATTCCCCAGAACGGGAGCCGCAGCGGTGACAGCAAAGAAGCGGGCGACTCCATCGTCTTCCAGTGCAACCCAGGGTACACGCTGCAAGGGGAGGCCAAAATCACTTGTGTGCAGATTGAGAACAGATTCTTCTGGCAGCCAGACCCTCCCTCCTGCACAGGTGGGAACAGGCATCCGTCCTCCTGTATTTCTCAGGTCTCCTAGAGGTACTTTTTAGGTTTGTCCCCCGTTGTCTGGGACAATGAGAATCTGATTCGTGCTGGAAGCTCTCAGGACATCCTGCGGTGTAAGTGATGGTATTTAACCTGACGAGGCAAAATTAAAGGCTTCTTTAAAACTCAGGTTGGTAGAGAGGATTGGGGTCATGGGTGAATAATTTCTGCATGAGGAGACAGCAAATTCTGTCGCGAGAAAGAACTGTCTGACATTTTCTTTGAACTCATGAAGTAATAAAAGAAGCTCATAAAAGTGATTCTTTTTAATATGTCCAGAAGACATAAAAATAGTCATTCCAAGCACACAAGAGCAGTAAACATCAAATTTGCTGGCCAATTAAATGGTAGCCACAAATTACTTACCTGTAACCCTCGTTCCTGTTTATGCACTGTTATCCCAAGCAAGAAAAATCAATTAATTCTGTTTCTAACATCTGATTTAATGCCAGCAGGGAAACCTGTATGGCACGTAGAGGATTTACGCTCCAATTGGACTTGGAGATACTGTGTCGGGTCCTTTTTGGACAGAAGTCTGGCAGTCTTGTTTTAGGAGTCAAAAGCTCTGTGAAAAAGCTGCAAGCAATGTCTTGCTCCTTCCCTCTCTTCAGTCACGAAGGATTTGGAGGAATAACCAGTGGCCAAATAATACCAGTTTTATAGTAACTGTGTAGCAGGCTGTTGGAAAGCGGGGTTTAATTCAGGGCTTGGATTTTATGTTTGTATTTAGCATTTCAAATATGTTTTCCCGTCTCTATTGTACAACTCTTGCAGTCCCTAAACAATGTGGGCTGGACTGAACCGCAGCTGGAGCAGCCCCCAGAGGTTTTTGGGGTATTTGAAGTCTGTACCCAGCTCCGAACAGTTGTGACTCCAACCAGTTTCTGGTTTAAATCCTTTGGAGACCATGGGTGGGATTTTCAAAGAAAGCAGAGGGTGTTGAGCAGTCATCTCCCTTAGGATTTTCAAAGATGAGCCTGTATACTTCAGTTTATTCTGATTTTTCCCCCAACTTCACAGCCTGGAAGAGGAGAAATGCACCCTAAAGGTTAGGATTAAAGTGCGTGGACACAGAACGGATGCTCATGGTCCAGCCCGCGACTGGGCTCAGCTGCAGGAGTTGCTTTTGGGCCTTGGAGAAGCATCTCTCATTTAATCTCTACCCTGATCTTCACAGAACAGCCCCACATTTTACCTGGTATTTGGAGATTCTTGGGTGTTTGCAGCCCACAACATAAGCACACACGCTCGCTCCTTCACAGAAGATATTTCCAAGGTTTATTCTGTTATTTCTGTCCCCTGGCAGTTCATTTCCCTCTGGTTTCGCGTTGCTGTAGGCTGGCTGGTGTCAGACACCCCAGTTTCACGCAGGTTGTGCTCCACTCTCTCACCCATCCTAGATTTGGGAGCATCGATCTGAGCAGCGGGGGAATCTTTGAGCATCGACCCCGTGAAGAGACTGCGGAAAGGCTGACAGCAGTAAATCAGCCCTGAGTATTTGCCACAGTGGAATTACATACAGGCACTTTCAGCCTTAAAAAAAGTAATAATTGATTTTTCAATCAGCTTGGCATTTACCGTGTTGGTGACTGTAATAAACACGAACAAGCCATTAGTCCCAGACAAGATGTTTTCACTTAGCAACTCTCCAGACTTTGAGCGGGAGTTGCCTAAATAAATGCAGCAGAAAAGCATGAAACAACTCTCTCTCTCTGTCCCCTTCTGGTTACTCATGTATATATTTTAAGAAGATTGTAAAACACACGGAGCTATGGGTGCTGTGTATCCTGTCTGGAATAGCAGAGCTCTCACCTCTGCTAGGGCCACTACAAGCTCATGTAATAGACATTTTAATATCAGGCAGCCTTGCAAGCTGCCTCTCGGTCCATCTCTCTCTCTCTTTCTCCCTTCCTGCATCTCATGTAATATTTTTTAAGTTTTTCTAAGCCTCATCCCTCTGCTTGGTCACCCTCAGCTCCCTGTGGAGGAATCCTGACGGGCCCAGCAGGAGTGATCCTGTCCCCGCAGTACCCGGAGCCGTACCCGCCGGGGAAGGAGTGCGACTGGAAGCTGACCGTCTCTCCTGACTATGTCATTGCCCTGGTGTTCAACATGTACGTACCAAGGGCTCACTGGTGCTGCTGGGAACGGGGAGGGGATGCTGGTGCTGGTGGGGCACTGCCTGGGTGGACTGGGACTGCCCGTGAGTCCTTTCCTCTCTGAAGGAGCCAAACCTGGTAGGACTGTCCTGTAGCCCTGGGTGATCTGTTCTGGATGTTAGCTTAATTTGGGAGAAGATGCGCGTATTTCAACCACAGCTCCTCTGTGATACACACATGGTTTTACAGAACATAACCGTGTAACTGGTGGGGCATAGGAAGCTCCACTGGCTGATGCTTTTGTGCTCCTGACTCTGTCACCAGTTCTCAGTTCCTTATGTGTTGAACCAAGACAGAAACACCCTCTGCTTGGCTGAGAGCTGTTTTGGGGCAGCAGCAGCGTCTCAGCAGTGTGGCAGTACAGCCCATCAAGGCCATGGTCTGTTTTCCAGGGGTGCAGTAGCATCTCCTACTTCAACTGCTCTTCCTTTGGCGTTGCAGCTTCAGCCTGGAGCCCGGCTATGATTTCCTTCACATCTACGATGGACCCGACTCGCTCAGCCCCCTCATCGGGAGCTTTTACGGCTCCCAGCTACCCGAGAGGATAGAGAGCAGCAGCAACAACCTCTTCCTGGCTTTCCGAAGCGACGCATCCGTCAGCAACACCGGGTTTGTCATCGACTACACAGGTAAGGGCTGCCCGGGGTGCACCTGGTTTTAATTGCACTCATTCCCAGGTTAAACCACCCACCTGAACCCAGCGGGAGAGGCTCTAGGTGCTGTGGAAACCTCTCTGCAGGCAGGAATCCTGCTCTGTTTTGAGGAGAAATTGGGATTTGGAGAGAGTGGATCCCATAGGCTGACAGAAGAGCCAGGGGACATAGGATAGATAAGAGCAGCATAAAGGGATGGCTACGTGGCTGAGGATCAGTCACACGTGGCTGCTGCTGTGTGGGGCTTGCATTAACATTAATTTTTTCATTTATTCTTTCTAGAAAATATGGGAGAGATTCACAGAAAGTATATATTTATTATATATATTATTTATTTATTTCTAAAGTATATATTTATGTCCAGGCTGTATAATCTGTCTTGCTCCACACTGAATTTTAAGTATTTCTTCTCCTCATTGAGCAGAACTTGCTGCTTCATTGCAGCTTTCAGAGCGCTGCAGAGTGTTGAACTGCTAACTGGCTGTTAGGAATTTAGGATTTCTTCTTAGTGCCAATAGTGGCTTTGTCCAAGAAGAGGAGGTGCAGACATCACATCCAGTACGGGATCTTGGTCTGAATCCTTGATGTCATTCAGGATGTACCAAAGGATTGGGTGAGGATGGTGGTGGTGGGTGCTTTTAGCAATGTGGATGGCAAAGTGGAGAAGTGACAGACCTGGCACCACTGCTGCTCTGGGAGATGGGGAGGAAAAAATAAGGCTTTGGCAGAGTGGATCCCTTGTTTGTGTGTGGGGTAGGCGGAAGAATGGAGTTGGTACAAACTGTCGTAAAAAATACGCTCTGAAAAGCTGGGTCTGATGAGCTGGAATTGTGCAGAATGGAGAAAAGGATTAAAAACTGGGAAAAAAAACCAGGGCTGGAAATAAAGGATTCTTCAAGACTGCTCTGGTCTTGTATGGACCAGTTTGCCCTATGGGGAAAAAAGCATCGATGGCTTTAGATGTACGGGATGTGTGCCACTGTGAAACGGGGCTTTGCATCTGTGGTGTGTGCTGAGCAATGGGGTGTTACTGGTGGATGCTGGGGGAGCAGCAGTCGCCGTGCTGGGGGGCTCCTGTGGTTTTAGGTGCTTGGGCAAGTCTCTCTGCTGATGCTTTCTCTGTTGTTCCTGCTTTTGAATTTACCTGCCTGGAGGTTAAACGATAGTAAAATGGCAATTCCTATTAGTTATACTGATCAGATGAATTTCCCTCCAGTAAAGTTTTGAAATAATAAGACAAAAACGATTAGCGCGGCTTAAGATTCAAGAGATTGAAAGTTTTCAGCTCTCGTTGGAAATTATTTTACTGGAAATGAAGTCTTGGGTATTCTTCTTTTCCTCCTCCTTTTTTGGGCAGCCAGAAAGTAGTTAACAAATGAAATCTCATTAAATTAGGGTGGTTGTGCATTGTGTTTTTCTGCTAAACACTCCTACGGTGTTAATCACGCCTACGTACTTCCCACAAAGCCAAACTGCTGGGAGAAAAGAATGAGGCTGTACGTTTGCTCATTAATTTCCCCACACTTTCAAAGGAACCTGGGATTCAAGCCTGTGAAGCGGCAGAAAATAGAGCTTTGGGGAGTCGAAGGAAGAAGAAAAGAGATGCAGGAGGGGAAAAAAAGAAAGAAAATCCAATGGGGAGCTCGGCTCCTGGCCAGCGTGGAGGCCAAGCATGGCTCAAAGTCACCGCCTGAGCTGCCTCATTGGGGCTGGTCAGGGCTGCAGCCCCCACAGCATCTGCCCCAAATATCACATAGAGCATCTATCGCCTGTGTCGGGCTGGATCTGAATGCTCTTCATTACCAGAGGCTTTGGAGTCCTCTGTTGGTAATGGGGTTTTTTTTGGGGGGAAGAAGCAAGCAGCCATCTGTCAAGCCCTCCTTGAATCCTGCATCTTCTCGGGGACTGGGACCAGCGCTCGCCTGCAGCTACGGCGCAGGGTGAATTTCAAGCAGCCTCGGCGCTTCCTTTGAAACCGTTTCAGGGGCAATGGCTCTTCACGAGAAAGCTGTCCTCTGGGGCCGGGATGGAGAAAAGAGAGAGAAGGACGAATTTGGCTTTTGTGAAGCCGGTTTTCGCTTGACAGTGAGGTGGGATGCAGCCATGCCACGGGAAGCTGCTTGAGGGCACATCTTCAGCCCGGCAGTTTCCCAGTCCGGCTGCACAGCCCTGCCACAGCAGCAGGATCACTGAGAAATGAACATTTCTCTTTGCTTCGTGCCCTGATGTGCCGTCAGCTGTGCAGCAGGATGAAAAATCAAACGAAGGTTACCAGCGAGGAAAGCGCCCGGGTGTTTCCGTGCACATACGTGTCCAGAGGTTGGGTTTGCTCCCTGCAGAAAGCCTTGGGAGCTGGTTCCGAGGGTCAGGGGAAACTTAAACGCAGTGGTTTGGGTTTCCAGTGTGCCATATTCGGAGCAGGTTCGCTTGAGCCCAAGGATTATTCATCTACCAGAGCAAAGGGGCGGTGAGTTCTTGATTACAAAATAGGAAGAACAGTTACAAAACAAAAGCTTGAACACGGGAAAAGAACATACCTGGAATTTATCTCTTTTTTGCAGTTGTTGCTTAAGAATTTTAAGTGTCTCAGCTACAGAAGACTACGGTTTACAACTCGGTATCTCTGCATGTTTTATCTTTTGAACCAAGATAACATTGCATGTCTTGGTTATGCTTGGGAGATTTCTGATTACAGAGCAAGGCTGGGTAGGTTTCAAAAACTGCTTCCACTCAATTGAAGAGACCTCGGTATGAGGAGCTCCCATTAAGCTGCCATTGCCAGAAGATGCTACCAGAGACTCTCTTAAATTTGGTTGGGGATGGATCTCTCCCTTTTCTCATTGGGAAATGAATTCAGATAAACAGTTTGCACTGCAGCATCTCACAAACCACAGATTTTAGATACGTTTTATGCATTCATACACTGGTATTTTTAAACTGAGACCACACTTTGTTAGTAACGTGAGCAGGGTAGTCATTTGGAGAGCTTTTCCCAAATTGTTCCCATCCCATTGTATTTTGTGAGTGTTGGGGACCTGCTGCCATGGATGGGGACCGGTTGCCGTGGAGACAGGAGTGAATTGGACTCCACCAATCACTGCCTCCGTCCGAGCATCCTGTCCTGCGGGGTTGGTGCTCAGTGGTACCCAAGGAGCATCTTCAGGTTGGGCTCCTCAGGCTTGGGACAGGGGGAAGGAAGGAGTTTCCAGGTTGGATGCTCCAAAGCAGGAGTTTTCCTCACTTTTTTTAGTACTTCCCGTTTCTGTGGTTGGCCAGAAGTGAGGAAGCGTGAAATTGAAAGCAAATGAAGCAAAACTGATTGCTTTTCACCCTTCCAAAGGAGTGAAAAAAACCCCCAAACCCAAAGCCCAAGCCTTATTTCAAATTGTTATTATTTCGCCAGAACTATTTTGCCCATCCTGAGCTTATAAACATATATTCAGCATTACTTACGGGTTATTTAAGGTGGAAATTCCCCACAGAAACATCATTCCGTGAAATCCACTGCAAGGCAGGCTGTTTAAAAACATCCAGTGCTGCTTGCTGTTAAAGCGGTCAGAAAAGGGAGATGATGCTTGGTCCTAAAACAACTTGCATTTGGAAAAACAGCTCTGGCCTTTGGAAAAGGCTGTTCTGGACCGTGCGGATGAAAGCCTGAGCTGGGAGCTTTGAGATCTCCTTGGGAAAGGAGAGGGGAAGCACAGTTTCTGCTTCCTTGGGGACTAATGAGCCAGCTCTCATGGCATTTTTGTGTTGCATCTCTTCTAAACATTTGGCAGCCTCACTCCGTGTTAATTGGGACATCAGGGTAAAGCCCTCGGCTCCTGAAGTGCCTGAGTGAAAATGAAACGTTCATTCGAAATGGGCAAGCCGTGCTGTACCCACTTCATAGCCTTATAAATCAAAGGCTGGGAAAGCTGCGGCTTTCCCACATCCCTCTACGAGGCTTTTGCCGTCACCACGCAGCAAAAATCCTTCCTTAAAGTGCAGCTCCTGCCTCCCTCTGTAGCCTCCTGCTGGGGAGCATCGGGACAGCTCGCCCACAGCAGTGGGATGTGCACGGGACGAGCGTATCTCAGTGAGGGTGACAGAGCCCTGGACCAGGCTGCCCAGAGAGGTTGTGGAGTCTCCTTCTCTGCAGACATTCAGAACCCGCCTGGACGCCTTCCTGTGTAACCTCATCTGGTGTTCCTGCTCCGGCAGGGGGATTGGACTGGATGAGCTTTTGAGGTCCCTTCCAGTCCCTGACGTTCTGGGATTCTGGGATTCTGTATCAGGAGCCAGCATCCTGCAAGGCGAGCGGTGTCCCTAAGGCGCAGACCCTCCAGGGAACACAGAAGCAGTCAAAAAAGGAGGAAAACACATCAAAAGCACCACAATCAGCCGCCACCCTTTTCTTTTCGGCAGGCGAGGGAGTGACTTGCGCCCTGGGTGTCGTCGTTTCTCAAAGCAAGAGCAGAGCCTGAGATCAAGGACGTGGCGAGGGCGTCTGACAGCCTGGACAGGTCGAAGCCGCATCAGCCTTAGATGAAAGGCAACGAGACCGCTCAGAGTAACGAGGGAGGCGTCGAGTGGTCAGAAAGGAGCCACTGGGTGCAGCTTTTGTGTGAAAAGGTCTGAAAGGGAGCGTGAGCAGCTCAGAGAAATAGAGGCTTGCGGAGTGAAAAAGTGTTTTGGGAAAGGAGATGCAGGCCCTGCTGTCAGATCGTGGAAATACGGGAAATTGCAGGAAATAATGCAATAAAAATATTGGTTGAATTATTTTCCCTCAGAATTCAAATGTCCATCACGTTCTGAGTATCAGCGCTCTTCAGTGCTGTGGTGATCGCAGTTGTGGGCACACAGATGTTACTTCTCTGGGTCAGATAAATGGGAATATCTTGGTTGTCCGGTTGGGGTTGCTTAAAGGACGAGTGGCTTGGCCACAGTTGGTGCAGCAAGGCGATGCTAACGCAGAGGAGAACCCAGGACGTGGTGATTCAGGGTTTGCTGGTGATGGAGCACTGGGGGTTGACCAGGCTCCCAAAACAGGGAACTGGTCTTCTGACCAAAACCAGTGGCCTCACTTGTACACTTACTGGGGAAACATTTCACATCCTCTGGTGCCCTGTTCACCGGGATCGCTGTGGTACGGCTGTTGTGTAAAGGACACCAGGGCACTAACCCCATTCTTCCCTGCAAACAAAGAAACAAAAGCAAGATCTGGGGGCTTTACTGTTTTCTGTTTCTCCCTCCACCCCTTCCCCAAATACCAAAAGCCCGTGATTTAATGCTTAAACACATTATAATTGTTCGCAGACCCACTGCTCTCAGAAAAGCCCTCATCTTTAATGAGCAATTTCCAAATGACAAAAGAGCAGGATTAATCAAAGCCTCTAATTATATTTCATGCAGGAAAAAAAGGAAGGGGGAAAAAAAAGAAGAACTAGAAAGAAAAAAGCCCTCAGAAGATGGAAAGAAATATCAAGTCCTGACAGCTCTGTAGTCTTTACTGGAATTTTCATATGTAAATGGGGTTTTTAACTCTGCAGGGCATAGTGAACGGAGAGAAAAATGTCTTCATTTTGTCTAACTGCTTGTAATCATTTTGCCATAATTGCAGCCGTGCTGCACATCTGGAGAGTCACCCAGCTCGCACGTGGCCCTGCGCATTTCCTTGGTGAGAGCAGAGGCAGCTCCTCGGTGTGGGAGTGATGGGTGCCAAGGAGATAACGGGACCAGATGTGGCACATCTGGACCGTGTGGTGTGTTCAGGAGGGGTTTGTGAGGCTCCTCGCAGCCTGTGCCCGCTGCCAGTGTGGGTGGTTAAATCAAAGCTTTGCTTCATCAGTGGGATTTTTGGGTATCTGTAAATAACGTGTGTGACCTGGAGCCTGCCTTTTCCAGCGTACGTGTGCTGGAGCATCAGAGGAGGCTGTGGACCAGACTCTGCCCCAGCTGAGAAAAGCCAAAAAACACACCACTGACCAAACTTTTAGGGCAGCTGTATCAGATCAATGAAGATCTTGGCAATTTTCTGTTGCAGAAAATCCGCGGGAGTCGTGCTTCGACCCGGGATCCATCAAGAACGGCACGCGAGTGGGCACGGACCTGAAGCTGGGCTCTACCATCACCTACTACTGCGACGGGGGGTACGACATCGAAGGGGTCTCCACGCTGACGTGCGTGATGGGAGGGGATGGAAAACCCACCTGGAACAAACCGCGACCGACCTGCACAGGTACGGCCCACGGGGGGGATGGAGAACGGTCTGCACATCCCCGAAACCTCAGCATCTCATCCCAAGGAAGAGCTCCATGTTACTTTTGCTTGGAGCTGCTTGCAGAGGGGCAGAGAGGGTTTTTCTCAGTATGTCATAATTTTTTAACTTTTAGGAAAAGCTGACTTATGTGAAGTTTCTTGAAACATTTTTTGAGAGAGACCGAAAATCAGGCACAACAGATGATGTGCTTGACAGACCCCATGTCCCCAGAGCAGGGCAGGATTCGGGAAGCCACTTAAACATTTGCTTGACCTGATCCTTGGCCATCAGAAGAGCCCTTAAGCATGTGCTTTCCTGAGCAAGGCCAGTGTTTATTGAGAAAACAGAAGGTGTTTTTTTTCTGAGGGGTTTTGTGGTTGTTTTCTTTTTCTGATTTAATAAGATGGTTGAAATGATGGGTTTGCAGTCAGCCCTTCTTCATCTGTGAAGTGATTCAAGAGAGCTGTCAGTCTGTGACGATGGGGAGAGTGAAATCCGTGACTGGAAAGGCGCTGGCGGGGAGGATGCTGATGCTGAGACACGGCAAGAAGAGCAGGGACTCATTCTGTGGGGTGCTGAGCTTTCAGATGGGGTGGAGAGCAGCACAAATCACACGTTAGCCTATACCACCCTGCACAGCATCCCTTAGCCTTGGCACGGTCTCAGTAATCAAAACATGAAGCAGGGACAAACTCAGGTTGGGATGAGCCTTATTTTTCCTAACAAGAACTTACAGCGAGAGCCACATGGGTTGAGGTGTGGAATCAATGGGGGTCAGGGGGGGCTGATGCACCCAAATTTCAGTACAGGAGCACTCACTGATCTCAGCTTCCTCTTCCAGCGCCCTGCGGTGGTCAGTACACGGGCTCGGACGGCGTCGTCCTCTCCCCAAATTACCCCCAGAACTACACCAGCGGCCAGGTCTGCCTGTACTTCATCGTCGTGCCGAAGGACTATGGTACCGCTTTTCAAAATGCGTCCTCCTGTCTGTGAAACGCGCTTGTTTGGGTGGCTTTTGTTGTTTGTTTGAAGAAAGCCGTGGAATAAATGCATAGATAAACGGAGATAAGGGAGCCTGGAAAATAGTGAGTGGCACTGTTGGATGCTATTTATACTTTGGTGTAGTCGGTAAGGATGATGGGAATTTTCTGAATTTCACAATCTATTAAAAATGAGGTGACAGAAAAACCCCCAAACCTAACGAAAAAAACACCGTCTTGTGATTCCCCTTCCAGTTCCTGCACTAAATCCGGTCGTGCAGAGCTGAAAAATCAGCAAACCGTAATTCATGGTGATTAATGCTGGCGGCAGACTCGGAGGACCTCCGAGAGTACAAAATGCATTTACTATAAACACATGCTAACTCTGGTGCTAAATAACCCGTCTGCGCAGAGGAGCACATAGAAGTGTGGTTTTGTGGGTGTACAACTAATTGTTATTTGTAAATAGCAGGTAAATTAGATTTTAAAACTAGATACAAAGGAAAGCCTGATCCATTTAAATGGACCAGTGTTCTCCATAGAGTCCAGGCTGCTTAATTTGGGTCAGAGCTCGAATATACAAATGATGGATGTTCTGGACACCTTTGAGACACCTTGCTGGATATGTTAACCTGTGCAGGTTAACGTTTTCTTGTTAGAAGGGGATTTAAAGTTGTTGAAGGGCGCTTGCACTGACAGCTCTGGCAGATGCAGCTCTAAATCCTGCTATTTGATACAGCTCCTCAATGTGTTGTATCGACCTGGTCGGTCCCCGTGGTCGCTTCAGTCGTTTGTGATTTCCTGTGCTGCGATAGCGAGGGGTGACAGAGGCATCCAGGCATCAGATTTGGGCTCCTTTCTCTCCCATTGCCCTTTACCTGGTGCAGGTGGGTCCTGGGCGATGGATCCCGCACCGCTCCTACCCCTCATAACCTGTTTGGCTATAACTGGTCTTGAGATTATCCTAAAATACAGTGACTTGCTCTGCAAGTAGGATGACAGCTCAATTAGTTTCTCTCCTCCACCTGCTACCTTTCAGTAGCTTCATTAAAGAAACCATTAGTAGTGAATGGTTTGCATTTCCCATCTCCTTTGCTTCTCGGGTCCAGCGTGCAGCAGGCGTCAGGGTGCGCGATCGCTGCTTTTTCAGTGTTCCCGGCATCAAAGCTGTGCTGGAAACCTGGATGTGCAGGAAAGAAATGTGGTGGCTTGGTGGATGATGGATTTCACAGCAAGAGACCTCTCAGCTTGGGCATCTGCAACTGGGCACTTAGAGCTCGGAAATGCAAAGCTGGGAGAGGAGACAAAGGAGAGGGGAAAAAAAAACCCTCCTAAGTGCAGATTTTTGAGGAAAAAGCCTGTTATATTCTGAAAAAATAAAGATAAATAACTAAAATCTCTTTGCTCTTAAAAAAAGCTCTGATCTTCTCATTATTTTCTCCCTTTTATAAGTTCTGCCTGCTCCTAGGTGCATTCGCAGTGTGTGCGGTGAGACCCGGAGCACTGCACGGCTCCCTCGTTAGTGGTCCCTGCAGACAGGCTTAGGGCTGACTGTTAATGAAGCGGTGAGCATCCTCTCCCCTCCCCGAGCAGAGGGGTTCGGCCTCAAAATGAAGTTTTTTTCAGGACAGGGACCGTTGTTTTGTTCAAGTTTCGTACGATGCCTAACCAAATAGGAGCCCGCTTCGCCACGGAGGTTCAATATACAAATAATAAATAGTAATTATCAGTTGGTGAAATTATATACCTTGCGTGATGTAGGCAGGCAAATGGGATGATTCATGAAAGAATCTCTTTTGGCTTATGAATCTGTTAAAGCGTGCTGGCAAGTGAGCACGGGGGAGGCTGCTTGCTGCTTCTGTTACGCCGACTTTGTGGATAAATAAAGGGCTCCCATCTTCCAGCGCTGTCAGTCAGGCCCTTTTCATCCGTGCCAAGCTCCTGAAATAAAAGGACCTGAAGTGCCTCTGCTCCAGGCCCTGGCAGCGTGGGGACGGCAGCAGGGCCGGTCCCGCTTCCCGCCTCGACCCAACCCACGCTCCCTCTCTCCGCAGTGGTTTTTGGGCAGTTCGCCTTCTTCCAGACCGCGCTCAACGACATCATTGAAGTCCACGATGGCCCCAACGAGCACTCCCGGCTCCTCAGCTCCCTCTCGGGCTCGCACACAGGTAAGGACTGTGTCAGAACAGGAAAAACAAGCTAAAAATGCAGCTTGCCATTTAGCACCTTGCTCTGTGCAACCCCTTTTGTGTAGCCAGGGCTGTGATCTCCGTCTCTCTTGTTTTATCTCCGTCTCTCTTGTTTTATCTCTTTCTCCTCATCCAGGTGAATCGTTACCTTTAGCCACCACCAACCAGATTCTCATCAAATTCAGTTCCAAGGGTCAATCTACAGCCAAAGGTTTTCATTTTGTCTACCAAGGTGAGTGCAGTTGTGTTCTAGAAACATCCTCATCAGGTTGGTCCCGAGATGACAGGGATGGCTTGGAGGGTCCTGAACCACTTCTGGCCTCTGTGGGTCCTTATCTGAACAGGAAATACCACAGGAGATGGGGATTATTTCGGTAGCAGTGAACTTGCAGGGCTGTCTGGCTCCTGGTACTTCACATTCAGACCTTGCATCTCCCCTCAGCCCAACCATCGCACGGCTCAGGATTAGCACAGCAGCAGCAGCAGCTCATTGAGTCATGCCCTGAGTACACAGCGAGTTTCTTCAGATTTAGAAGCAAGTTTTCCCACTGGTGTTTTCACACATTTCTTGGTGTAAGCAGCTGAGTGCTCGTCTGGCAGCTCCGTGCAATCCATGCCACGGGCTGAAGTGTGCTGCTGTCAAACCGTGGCCCCTTGATCCCGTCAGTAACAGCTTGCGTGGCGTTGGGGGAGCATTACTTAGAGGTTTTTGGAGTAGTAAATAGAAAGTGGTGCAGAATAGTGGGAAAGCAGATGGGGTTGCTCACCCACACGCTCTGTGTGGTTATCTGGGGTTCGGGGAAGCTTTTACATTGCTGTAAAACAGGGACAGGCAGCACGGGAGGCCTGCGCCTTCTCTGGGGTGAAGGGAAGCACGGTTTGGATTTTACAGTATCCAGAGATCTGCTCTCTTGAACGTCTGCCTAATTATTGTAGAGCAATTGTAGTTCTGGTGGTAATCTTAAAAGATTCCAGCAAAGCCCAGGTTTGGATGAAATCAGCAGCGATTCCCTCCTCACTCCTCTGTGTGACTGTGAGCTGCGCTCTTCAGTGGTTGCTGCCTGGAAAGCAGCGGCAAAGGAAAGGCCCAGCCCCAGTTTTGATCTGCCTGGCCAGGAGCTAAGGGTGTTTGTTCTCATTTTGACACAGAGGAGGGGTCTCTCTCCCATAGCTCCACCATAAGTGGCTCCTTTTGCCTCCCCAGACGTCAGCTCCTTGCTGATCATCATGCATGAGCCCTTTGGCAGTGCATTTGATCTCCCTCAGTCAAATTAAAATAAAATAATATAGCTCGTGTGCTCATCGTCTCCACATTTTCCCCCTCCCAGCAACTGAGCCATTAAACAATAATAAATTGTAAAGGAACTCAGAGAAAAGTATGAATTGGTTTCTTCCTCAGCAGTAGATGTTTCTTTGACTTGTTTTTCCCCTCACTTGTCTCTGTCAAAGCCTCCATTTCTCCCCTTGGCCGTTGTTTCATGTATTGAACAGGAGCACAGGCAATTTCAACAGTCTGCAATGCTGCATCACAACTTAAATTCCCTTTTTCTCCCTCTCCCCCTTCCCATCACAAAGAAGATGGTTTAAAATTGCTGTTCTTTATAGTAATGAGGCCAGGTGAGCTGAGAAAAGGGTTTTCTGCTGAGGCTGTAGCCTTACATTGCAGACCAACTGTTTGGAAAGCCATTGCTGAATGCCTTGGTTTCCCTGTTTAGAAATGACCTTTCGGTGTGATGGTAAGTTTTCTAAAGGCAAACAGTCTCGTTTTGGAAAGGATACGTGGTTCTGTAATGTCCTCGCTGCTTTTATTTCCAGTATCGCTTCAATTGACAGATGTTTGAGAGAAATGTTATTTCTTTTCCTTCTTGATGGTCGCGTTTGGATTCAACCACTCTTCACAGAATCCCAGAATGT